GTCCAGGCCGGGTGGGGGCGGCTAACAGTGTGGGGGGACCTGGAGAAAGTGGAGGTGGTGAACAAGTGTGGGGCACTAATGAATGAGGTGTGAGAAGATGGAGGCAGCCCGCACCGATGAGGAAGGCTCAGCTACTGCGGTCTCTGAGTGTGTTAGCACTGCACGTGTCGGTAGACAGGGAAGTGAGCCGCCAGGCGACAGAGGGAGGCCTTGGCCATGGAGGCACCCACGCGGACGTTGTGGGCTGGACGTGACGATCGCTGCCTAATGCTTTTCAAAATGCAAGTCTGGGCAGGATGGCCTTTGGCTTCCTTCTCGATTATTTTGTGAAATGAGAGTATCGTAGCCCCAAGCGGGAGCCTGGGTTGCAGCCACCTCGGTTCAGCACCTTTAACCCCAGATTTGCCGCCTGGCAGCTGGCTTGCTCCCGGCTTCGTAGGGACCCAGCTCCCCAGCACCTGTGCTCCGCAGAGGACCCTGCACCAAGGACAGCTGTTGCAGCATCACCGCCATCCTGCCCCGGAGGCAGACCTGCCCGTGCTGGGTTCAGCACCTTTCATTTCCGAACATTTCTAGTGTTTTCCTGAAAGAGAGAGAAACCATTTGCTTTGGAGCCGGGAAGCACCACCAATGATTTAATTAAGGTCTTAGAGCGGCCTTTTCATTTGAGAGAGGACTGAGCAGAGAGGGCAGGGAGAAGGAGACGGAAAGCAGGACAGGACCTCGGGCCTGGCGCTGGGAAGGCGTGGGGTGCACACACTTGTACTCTGGGCGCCGTCCCTTCCCGGCTCTAATCCCACCATCCTCGCTGACTCAGTGGTACCTGTGGGCTCCTCCATGCGCTTTTGGGGTATGGGGTTTAAGGAATTTCATTACCTTCAAAAAAATTATTTTTAATGTCTTTATTTTTGAGAGACAGAGACAGAGACAGAACGTGAGCAGGGGAGGGGCAGAGAGAGAGGGAGACACAGAATCCAAAGCAGCCCCAGGCTCTGAGCTGTCAGCACACAGCCCGACACCAGGCTCTGATGAACAAACTGTGAGATCACAACCTGAGGTGAAGCCAGACACTTAACTGACAGAGCCACCCAGGTGCCCCAAAGAATTTCATTATCTAAAACTACATTCAATCATTTCTTCTCTGCATGTTAACTTTTATCTTTGGCCACTGGATGGGCAAGTAAGGACCCTGTTATATTCAGTATTGAATCCCCACTGTCCACACTGGGACTAGTACATGGAGATTGCTCAATAAACAATGAATGAACCAATGAATGAGTAATCAGAACTAGAATATTCTGGGTGGCTCAATCGGTTAAGCATCCAGCTTCAGCTCAGGTCATGATCTCAGGGTTCATGGGTTCCAGCCCTGTGTTGGGCTCTGTGCTGACGGCTTGGAGCCTGGAGGCTGCTTGGGATTCTCTGTCTCCCTGTCTCTATGCCCCTCCCCCACTCATGCTCTGTCTCTCAAAAATAAATAAACGTTACAAAATATTTTTTAAAAAAGAACTAGAATATTCTAGTTTTTCCATGTCATTAAAACATCGATCATCGCTCATCCCAGGGTGTCATTACCAGCTCGATTATTTTATTGAGTAGCAAAAACTTAGATTGTCATCATATTTAGAAAAACATAGCTAAAAATGGACATGGCGATGAGAAGGAAATTCTGACGAGACCCGTCCCCCCCCCCCCCAGACTCAGTTTACACAATTCTCCTACTAGGTCACATTTAGCCTCCTGCGGCATGAGTTTGCACTTGATGTGAGGACATTTAAAGGGTGTGTTGATATTTTTGTTTCATTTCAGCAAACTCCAGAAGACAAAGAGGGATGTCAGATGGCTTCAAGGAGTGACTGGCGAATGGTTTGAAGAAATTCAAAGAAAGAAGTTTTGTAATGAAACGGATGTTAGCCAGATGTTAAAACAACCCCTTACATACAGGCTGAGGAAAGGGATGGCAGAAAACGGTGAGAAAAAAACTTCCATCTAAATTTTTTTTCTTACAGCATGTTATAGATAAATGACTCAGTGGATCTCCAATTAACCAGTCCATGTTTAGGACTATTTTTAAATCATAAGGTAGAAGAGTTTTATAACATAGCATACAATAAGAAGAGTGAAGCAAACATGTACTGTAATGTCCTAGGGGTATGTTTTTAGAATCAGACAAGATAGGCCAATGGTTAAGAACACACATGTTGAGGGGCGCCTGGGTGGTTCAGTCAGTTGGGCATCTGACTTCATCTCAGGTCATGATCTCACGGTTTGTGGGTTCGAGCCCCCAGCTGGGCTCTGTGCTGACACCTTAGAGCCTGGCGCCTGCTTCAGATTCTGTCTCCATCTCTCTCTCTCCCCCTCCCCCACATGGGCTCTCTCTCACTCTCTCAAAATAGATAAACATTTAAAAAAAAAACAAACAAAAATGGGGTGCCTGGGTGGCTTAGTTGGCTAAGCGTCTGACTTCAGCTCAGGTCATGATCATACAGTTCGTGAGTTCGAGCCCCGTGTCGGGCTCTGTGCTGACAGCTCAGAGCCTGGAGCCTGCTTCGGATTCTGTGTCTCCCTCTCTCTCTGACCCTCCCCGGCTCACACTCTCTCTCTCTCTCTCTCAGAAATAAATAAAAATTATTAAAAAATAAAAAATAAAAATAAAAAAAAGAACACACACATTGATATCAAAGAAGGCTTGCGCTGTGTCTCCCTGTATTCTCTATTCTGTCAGAATCCATGTGACTGTTCTAGTTACTTATACTCTGTAAGCCTCAAGTTTTCCCCTCTTTGAATGGGTGTGATGATACCTACCTCACAGGGTGGTTGTGTATGTACAAAGTGTTGAGCTGGGACACAGTGAGCACTTCTATGAATGGAGGAGGAGACAGGGGAGGAGGGGAGGGGGGAAGGAGATTATGGGGGAAAGGATGAGGAAGGCAACAGAAAAGCTGCCACCTTTCTGGAACTTTGGTAAATTAAGCTCGGTAGGTCACTGCCTTCTTTGAACATGCCAACTATGTGACTACTCACGTGTCACCTCCACCAATCACTTGTGTGTTTCTAATCTGTAAATGAGGAAAGTAAAACCCGCTTTCACAGGAATAACAAAGTACATTCAAAATTGTAACCTATCTTCCTACTGATATAGTCAGGTGGACTACCTTGGCTACTGTGTTACTAATGTTAGGAGCAGCAAGAAACCTGTAACAATATTTCTGAACTTATATGGGCAACATTCTACAGCTCCCATGAGGAACAAATCTCTCTAAAAAGACTCACAGTTCAGATTTTGAAATTAACCCCATGTATACCATGGCGACTTCCCCCTTCCATTGAACTTCTCTAATATTTATAAACTCAGCATGTCTCAAAGTATTACGGTATCATAGACTTTGTATATGTTGATGTTGTCTTAGAAGTTTTGATACTCACATGTATAACTATACATTATACACATATTAGACATATTTGTATTATAGGCATACACGCCTATAAACCATATTGTAGCAAATACACACATGAGATAGATTTTTGATGGAAATAAGGTACCCTTAAATGGCTTCATTTCCTTTTTCCTTACTTTCTTTGCTTACAAAAAGTGACATGGTATCTATCACTGTGGTTTTAAAGTACTAAAATAAAAATGTCTGAAGGATGGGGCAGTTAAAAGCAATTTGAAAGTTGAAGGAGGTCCCTGACACCTCACCTTGGGCTTCGGACGGATTCACGCAGCTGCTGTGCGTGGAGGGATGTTTCGCTGAACTGTGGTCCACGGTGCGTATTGAAAGACTCCCTGCCCTTTGTGAGGGTTTTCTCTGTTCAGCAGAACCATCAGGGGCACTTCCTCGGGTCTCCATGTGGGGATGCCTGCTCTGTTTTCAGTCTGCAGAGAGAGAGGTGGGAAGCAAGAGCAAAGTCTTAGTTCTCAGAGATATAGTCACCCAGAAATATTGAGTGATGCCACCTTTCTACAATGTTCGTCTAGGTCCCATGGAATCACAAACATCAAGATCTAAAACTACACCCAATCAAAGAAACCCCATGTCCATTTCTTCTCGGCTGAGCTTCAGATCATCATTTTCTTCCCTGTTCTCCTTCAGAAAATCCAGAAGGGAGACTTCAAAGCTTCAGTCACCGGGACAGAAAGGGTGAGTTAAATTCAGATCCTGTGACAGCTCGTTGGTTATTTGATGCCAGAGGCCAGTAGCCTGTTTGTGTTGAGAATGTTTAATGTTTGTTTAAATTCAGATAGGAACAGAGGAAACGGGTCGTGGCTTTTATAGGGACAAAGTCCTTCTGAAACCATGAAACTTGGCTCTTTTGGTATCCAATTTCTAACCAACTGCACACGTCCCAGGTAGTGGCCTTGGTGGATGAGGGGTTAAATGTTGGGAAGAAATCATTGAGAGTTTCTCCCACTGCTTCAAGAGGCTGGTCTATGCCCCGGTCAGGAAGATATCTTTAAATCAAAACCACTGTTTTCTTGGGGATATAGGTTTCTGCTTCCACAAAGAGAGATGGTGTATAAAGTTTTAAGTGAAAGTAAATAAGATGAGCAAAGAGAGCAGAGGAAAATTGTATTTTTTTTTTTTTTAACTGAGGGACTAGCAGTATTCAAGACAGCTGCTCTGATGTGGTTACCCAGAATTTAAACTTAAGGCACAGGAAGGGAGGTTTTGGGGAGGGTGGAGGCATAGTTCCAGATCATTCCCAGTGTGAAACTGTGTAAATCAGTTCCTCTTGACTCCTGAGTTGTTAGGTCACTTTGTGAAAAACAAGCGAGGCTTTGCTTACATGCAATTGAGCTGACTGCTAAATATTTTCAGCCTGTCTTCCTGGCTGAGAAGCTTCCCACCCTCTCAAGGTGTTGGCCTCACACGTGATGTGTGCCGTCAAACCATTAGGCAGGGGTGCGTCGCTGCACTCAGTACGAGGTGCCGGAGGTCACTCTCGCTGCAAAACAGCCCGTGGCACGCCGCTGGTGGGCACGGGACGAGGCTCCCAGCCTGCGGGACAGACCCCTGTACCCACCTTCCCTCCCGGATGGATGATCGGATTTTCTCCCCAGCCTGCTTTTGTCTGAGCTGAAATAGTGGAGAGCTGAACAGCATGTAGGTTTCTGTGCAGGGCTCGCCCAGAGCCGCTTGTAAGGACGTGCTCTTCAAACGGGTGAGTGGCTTTTCTTCCAGAGAATGTTTGAAATGCTAGGAATCCTCTCTCGTTTGGGGATTTAAAGTATGTCCTTGAAAGGACACACGTTTTATAAGGAGAAAAGAAATATTCCCGGCACGTGGTGTCGCTGGAACTTGTGACGTAATTTGTGTTTTAGGTGATTTTCTCTAAGGCAGAGTTTGTACAGCTCAAGCGTCTCACATCAGGAAACCAGGAAAAGTTGAGGAACCTGTTCACTCTGTGGGCAAGTTATTTCCAAGCTCATATTGCAAGTCACTGCAAAAGTGGATCCAAGGAGACAGAAAATCTAGACTCTCCCATCTGGATATCATGTGTATGTGTATGTTTTATTTTTTTTAATGTTTATTAAGTTTTGAGAGAGAGACAGAGAGACAAAGCACGAGTGGGGGAGGGGCAGAGAAAGAGGGAGACATGGAATCTGGAATAGGCTCCAGGCTCTGAGATGTCAGCACAGAGCACAACGCGGGGCTCAAACCCACGAACCGTGAGATCGTGACCTGAGCAGAAGTCGGACGCTCAACTGAGTAGGCCACCCAGGTGCCCCGTGTTTGTTTTTTTTCCTAATGTTTATTTAGAGAGAGAGAATAGGGAGGGAAGGGGCAGAGAGAGAGGGGACAGAGGATCCGAAGCAGGCTCCAGGCTCTGGGCAGACAGCTGCGAGCACAATGCGGGACTCGAACCCACAAACCGTGAGATCATGACCTGAGCTGAAGTCGGACGCTTAACCTACAGAGCCACTCAGGCAGCCCCATGTTTTTTTGGTTATAGATCAAATTGGAAAAAAAAAAAGGAAACTTTTATTTAGCAACTTTCTTGTGAACCAAAATGCCTGGTAGCTTCCTCATAACCATGTGCACTGAAACATAAACATCTGCGTGCAGAAGTGAAACAGATTGTATCCTTTAAGTACTGCTAGTGGAAATAGATATTTATGAATGGTACTAGTACAGATCATGAAGGCTCTACTTTTCGCTCTTGAATTTCAGTAGGTAAACTGTACAAATATGTCCTTTTCATTTTTAAATATATGTGTGAGCTAAACATTTGGATATAAATCCCGAGTGTGTATGTGTGTGGCTGTGTGTGTGTGTGTGTGTGTGTGTGTGTGTGTGTCGCCAGGAGGGGGCTTAAGGTAAGAATATAAATCATGTGTTGTCCACTTTCAGGCACTCTTTACTCTTAAGTAGAACCTGACTTTATATGGCACTTGTGATCTTTGGAAATACAAAATCAACCTTCCAAATCCATGAATCAGGAGCTCTTGCTTGACTATTACTGCTCAGGCAGCCCTGACAAAGGGCCCCGGAAAGCACAGTCATTCCGTGCAAAGTAGGATTCAGGTTTCTACTTGCCGAAGCCATCAAGGCTCGGCCTTGTCATACTTGGTGCTCTGGAGAACAAGTCAGCAAAGCAGTTGAGAGGATCTTTTGCAAATCGCAGAAAGGGAACCAACCCCTCTAGGCAAAATGCAGCCTTCTGCTCAGCCCTGAAAGACTTGAGTATCAGAGAAATCAGTTTTCACCTTTAAGCTGTGGTTTAACTGAGAAATGATGCTGGATAATGGATAATTCTTCCAGGAAGAAAATGGATTTGGTCATTTCATCGGGTACTCACTTTAGAAAGGCCCAGTCAGGGGTGCCTGGGTGGCTCAGTCAGTTAAACATCTGACTTTTCATTTTGGCTAGGGTCATGATCTCATGGTTTCGTGAGTTCAAGCCCCACATTGAGCTCTGTGCCTACAGTGCAGAGCCCCCTTGGAATTCTCTCTCTCTCTCTCTCTCTCTCTCTCTCTCTCTCTTCCCCTCCCCACTCATGCTCTCTCACTCAAAAATAAATAAATAAACTTTAAAAAAAGAAAGAAAGAAAGGCCCAACCAGTAGAAGTATATGATATACTGAAGCTTTAATTTTCTATTATCAGTGGTAAAAAGCCTTGGAAACATAGTGACTTAATTAACAAAAAGGCAAAAAGTTTTGCAATTTCTGCTTTAGATAGGACTAGTTTCTCCTCTCAAATCTATGCACTTCCCAAACTATCCCATTATTATTGTTTTAAATTTATTGATATATTTTGAGATACAGAGCTCAAGTGGGGGAAGGGGGGAGAGAGAGAGAGAGAGAGAGGAGAGAGAGAGAATCCCCAGCAGGCTCCACAGTCAGGGCAGAGGCTGATGTGGGGCTCGAACCCACAAACTGTGAGATCAACCTGAGCTGAAATCAGTAGTCAGATGCTTAACCGACTAAGTCACCCAGGCCCTCCTATTCCATTATTATTTTAATCCTCCTTATAAATGACTGAACTGTATCCTATGGGACCCCCTCCCCACCTCTAGGAAAAAGGAAAACTATTTTCCATTCATGTTTTGATTTATTTATTGCTAGCCAATAAATTCAAGAGACGTATACATGTATATTGCATGTATGTTTCCCCCAACATTTCCCTGTGTGTTGTCTTTCCTCCTGTCTTATTATAGGGCATTTAGAGCCTGTGATAGTGCTCAGCGCCCCAGCATGAAATTTCAGTAACCTAGAGCCTCAAAAATTCCTTCTGCGTAGTTCAGCAAGTACCCATAGCGTATGTCATGAGCTTACAAATGCAGTCTGGCTGCCAAAGAGCGTCTATGGTTGCTCATTTCTTACCCCAGACCCCTGTTACTCCAGTGATGCTCTCCACACCACGAGTGCGTGCTGTGCCTGCCACTCTGTGTCTCATGCTGCCACATAATCCACAGCAAGGTTGTTTCTGCAAGGGGGTCACCTTCGTTCTCAAAACTGTGGTTCATTATGGCCATCTTAGGGGTGTGGACTCCCCCCTAAGTCCACTTTATTTATTTACTCCTTTATTTGGTGGTGTCCCAGAACTCAGACACCATGAAAATGCAAGGGAACTAGTTCATACGACTCCTGGGTACCATGTGCAGGTAAACTTCAGAGGGGGCACCCGGTGGCTCAGTCGGTGAAGCATCCAACTTCCACTCAGGTCATGAGCTCCACATCAGGCTGTGTGCTGACAGCGTGGAGCCTGCTGGGGTTTCTCTTTCTCCTCTCTCTCTGCTTCTTCCCCATGCACTCTCTCTCTCTCTCTCTCTCTCTCTCTCTCTCAAAATAAATAAACTTAAAAAAAATAAATTTAAGGTCACATCTTCCCTTTGAGGATTGTCACAGTGCCTCGCACATGCAAGTACCCGCAGCGCAGTGGAGATTAGAAAGTGTCAGCTACTGTCCAGCCGCGAGCGCCTGCCCATTACACTGTGACTTCAGGAAGATTCTTTTTTACCCCTGGAGATGCAAACAGCTTTGGTGGATCCACCTCGCTGCTCCTCAGACATGCCCAAATTTGCCTGATGCACAGGGTGTACCCAGTTAAGGTGCTCACGCTGCAGCCTCGTGTTATGTAAGCAGGATGTTCAGATGCTGTTTTGGAAAGTTGAAAAGGCAGATGAGGGGCGGTTAAGCGTCCAACTTTGGCTCAGGTCGTGATCTCTCGGTCGTGAGTTTGAGCCCCACGTCAGGCTCTGTGCTGATAGCTCAGAGCCTAGAGCCTGCTTCAGATTCTGTCTCCCTTTCTCTCTGACCTTCCCCTGCTCACACTTTCTCTGTCTCTCTTTGTCTCTCTCAAAAATAAATTAAAACATTAGAAAACATAAAAATGTGCCAAGAAAAGAAAAGGCAGATGATACCCCCCCCCCCCGAGTTCTGGTTGTTTTATCTCTCTATCTGTCTGCCTATCTATCTATCTATCCATCTATCTATCTATCGAGCCTCTCACTCACTACCAATGCCTGAGTTTGAAGACACAAAAATCTGACACCTCAGTGGAAAGGAACAGTCAGAGTAAACAAGATCCTTCTTGGGAAATGCTCCCTCAGTGAAGCCAGGTGTGGTCTCCACAGGTAAACGGAAGGGTTGTGATGACAAGAGGCAGGACAAGGGGAGTGGTTTTGGATTTCATCCTGGGTGGCTCGCCGTTCCCAGGTGATTCGCCCAATCATTATTATAATCTCGTCAACAGTTTAAAAATAATGACAGATCCTCAGATCCCTGGCTCTGAGATCCTGATTTAGAAGGTCTGAAATGGGGCACAGGGAACTTTATTTATTTACTTCTTTTAGATTCTCCAGGGTATTCAGATGCTCCCTCGGGTTTGGAAGCCACAGCGGTAGAGCTTCCTGTGCCACTGTGGTAATGAGGGCGGTTGGAATTCCCGGGAAGGGTGTTGTTAGCCCAGGTGACGGTTTCTCTTCTGTTTATCTATGTGGCTTTTATCAAAGTCTTACTCTGGATCAGATACTGTGGTTAGTGCTGGAGATAAAATTGTGACACTAACTCAAAGTCCCTGCCCAGACACCGTCTGTCCAGGAGGGAACAGCAGAAGGCTGCGTGCGGTCGGGTGTGAGGTGCACCACAGGACTCTGGGACATGGAGAACCAGTATGGGTTCCCGTGCTTCCTATGGCAGTTTTCTGGCAGATGACAGTAGGTATCTTGCAGAAGGGATGCGCTGTGGAATTCACACGGGGATACCATCCGTGCCTAACTGGTGACAGCCGATAACACCGGTGATGATGGTGCAATACGGTGAGTGTGAGGGAGGGTGCTGGGCATTCCTGCCATGAGACTGCATAGGAGACACACTTAACTCCGACTGGAGGACCAGAGGCCTTCCTGGAAAAGGAGAGCCAGTTGTCAAAGGACATTTAGGACTGAGCTAGGTAATTAAGAGTCGGAGGTTGCACCGGGCAGACTGACACAGCCAGGGTGTGGAGACTGGAAAAAGTAGGTACTCATGTAGGTGGCTGAGGTTCAGTGAGCTGGTATAAGGTAAGACCTGTAAGAGATGGAGCGAGAGGTTAATAGAGGCCACAACACAAGGACCAGCAGTGCTAAGGACGCGGAGTGCTAAGACCCTTGGACTTGATCCTATAGACAATGGGAAACCATTACTCACTTTTACTAGTAATGTCATTGCTTCCATAGTTATATGTATTTCACGTATCTAAAGTCACCCACAACACCCTGACCTGGACAAACACTAAAATGTCTTGCTGTATTCAATGCAGGTGTGCAGGTGCACATGTGTATTTTATCCATTGATAGTTGTTAAACAGAGGAATGACATAATCAGATCTTCACTTTAGAAAGATCACTTTAGGGGCGCCTGGGTGGCTTAGTCGGTTAAGCGTCCGACTTTCGCTCAGGTCATGATCTCGCGGTTCATGGGTTCGAGCCCCGCGTCGGGCTCTGTGCTGACTGCCAGCTCAGAGCGTGGAGCCTGTTTCAGTCTATGACTCCCTCTCTCTCTGACCCTCCCCTGCTCACTCTGTCTCTCTCTCTCTCTCCAAGAAATAAATAAAACATTAAAAATTTTTTTTGAAAAAAAAAAAGAAAGATCACTTTAGCTTGGTACTTTCCATTGGGGCCATTTTGCCCCGCAAAAGACATTCGGCAATGTCCAAAGCTATATCTGGTTTTTGCAGCTGAAGGGTGAGGACTGTGGGCCTGAACCACGGTGGCAGGCAGTGAGGAGAGCAAAAGGCAGACAGATTTGTGCACGGATTTAGATTGTGGACTCATGAGAACCCTGTAATTGGATGTGTTGGGTGAAGAAGAAGGAAGAATGGAGATGAACTCTCCTCTCTGACTCAGGAAACTAGTGGTTGATGGTGAAGAAATATAGAAGGAGGAGCAGATATGAGAATAAAAATGAACACATTTGCTGATTTATTCAGGGAAGACTGCTCAAGGAATGCCGCACACGGCACTGGGGAAACAAAGCACACAGCCCTTGGTTTCCAGGCTTTAGTCTTGTCAGGACCGCAAAAAGGAAATAGAGAAACATAAATAATAGTGCTAAGGCAGGGAAGTTCCATGCACTCTTGGAGCACATACAGAGAGTTTTTTAGATTATGTCTTGAGCCCAGAAAGCTCTTCCAGGGAAAATGACATTTATAAGGATTGTTCAAGGATGAGAGTTATCCAGGCAAATAGGTGGTAGAAAAATGTTTCAGACAACTTCTGTGCAGATGCTCAGAGGTGTGCTCATTCCTTATGGCAGAGGGATATCCCAAGGGGAGAGATGAGGCTGGAAGTGTATGGGGACTAGATCGTAATGGGCCTTCTGAGTGCGGATAAGAATTTGAACTTTCACCTGGGAGCAAATAGAAATCATTTAAAATGTTAAACAGGGAAGTAGCATGATGCCCTTTGAACTGATCACTCTGGCTAAAGTGTAGAGAATGGATTGGATTGGAATGAAACTTGGAGGGAGAGGGGCAGGTAAAGGCCTAGAGCAAAAACAAAGCAGATAATAAATGCCTTAACTGGGGTACCATCGGGGGGATGTAAAGGTATGGGTGATTTGAGAGGGATTTCTGAGTTCGAATCAACAGGATCTGTTGGTTGATTGGATAGGATGGGGTAGTCATGCAGGGAGGGCAAGGAGGGTCTGAATTGCCCGTGGTCATCCAGACGGAGCTCTTCAGTGGCCAGTGCTTAGGGCGTGTTCCATCAGCATTTGGAGGAAGTCACCTGGGGTTCTGGTTTTAAAAAGAATATTCTTTTTGGTTGTTTTTGCTTTTGAGAGAGAGAGAGAGAATGAGCAGGGGAGGGGCAGAAGGAGAGAGAGAAAGAACGAATCCCAAGCAGGCTCCATGCTCAGCACAGAGCACAACGTGGCGCTCGATCTCATGATCCTGGGATCATGACCAAAGTTGAAATCAAGAGTCAGATGCTTAACCAGCTAAGACACCCAGGTGCCCTTTCAAAAAGAATATTCTTGGGGCACCTGGGTGGCTTAGTCGGTTAAGCGTCCGACTTTCGCTTAGGTCATGATCCCGCGGTTCGTGGGTTCGGGCCCCGCATCGGGCTCTGTGCTGACTGCCAGCTCAGAGCCTGGAGCCTATTTCAGAGCCTGTATCTCCCTCTCTCTCTGACCCTCCCCTGCTCACGCTGTCTCTCTCTCTCTCCTAGAAATAAATAAAAATATTAAAAAAAAAAAGAATAAAAAATAAAAAGAATATTCTTGAGCACACTCTAATGTCCTGAGTGAGAATTTCTGAGTGGTATCTGCAAAGGTATAGAGACAAGAGAAGAGTTTATGGAAGTGAAATAAATTTGGTAAGTCTAGCGTACAGGTACCTGCAGATGAGTGGAGTGTGGGCTTGACAGGTGAGGGGTGGCCTGGGAGGCTCATCAGATCAAAGAGCCTTGCATCAAGTGAAGATTTTGGATAATACCTTGTGAGATGTTAAGCAGAGGATTGATACGATCACATTTGGATTTTAGACAGATCTCTATGAGTGGTAGGAAGGATGGAGAGGAGTCCAAGAGAGAAATTATAGGAGTTTACTCGGCAGAATGGGTGAGCTGAGACGTGGGGTTGGATGTGAGAGATCTTCAAGATGTGGCATCCATAGGGCTTGAGAGCAAATGCAGAAGAGGAGGTAGCCCTGTGTCCTGCGACGTCACTGGCCGGTGGACTTCCACCAGCCTCGTGTCCGGGACCCACCGCCGCTTTTATTTGCTGCGCAAGTGAAAGCTGTTCACATCAGAAACATAAATTCACTTTTAGGAGGGTCTGGGAGTGGGTGCGGAGACTCTGTGGATCCAAGCCACCTGAGTCCTAGGCCGGCAAGTCCACCAAGACACCCACACGCGGCCTGGCACACCATCACGGGCACCCCCACCCCACCCTGCGCATGGCTCACCCTCACCCTCCGTGCTCTCCCTCCCAGAGGCGCTCCTGTCATCCTGCGGGTCACATCGTCCTCCCTCCCGGCCCCCCTTGGGGGCCAATCCCTGCCCTGGCTGCTGGCATGTAGATTCAGGGCCTGGTGAGCTGCGTGGGCGCCCTGTGAGCTCTGGAAGGAGCCTTCACAATCTGGTATGTTCTCCTGGCTCTGGCAAATTGAATTACCTGCCAGTTCCCAAGCGGCCTGGCTCTTTCCCATCTCTGAGCTCTTGCCCCTGCTGTTTTCTACCTTCCTCCCAGGCCAACTGCCGCCTTCTTCCTGCTGCCTTCCCTGCTCACCCCCAGCAAAGTGCTCACCCGCCCTCTGCGTTTTCAGGGCATTGGACTTACATCACCCTATTGTCCTCATCACTTCTTGGCGTGTATTTCTGCTCTTAATGTGTCTACTCTTTCCTACTGTGGACGCTCTCGGAGAACAGGGTCCCTGTCTCAGTCCTATTCGTTTCCTGAAAACCATGGGCAGGAAGGAGGCATGCAGGCTCGGTGTGGCTGTAGGGAAAGGAAGAATAAAAATAAAAGCAAGATTTAAGTTCTAGATATTAGTTTAGACCTGGTGTTTCAGAGTAATATGAAACGCAGTCCATAATATTCATGTCAATTTCTGTTTGAAATTTGAGCTAATCTGGGGCACTCAGGTGGCTCAGTCAGTTGAGTGTCCAACTTCGGCTCAGGTCATGGTCTTGAGGTCGGGTTCACACCCAACTATGGGGAACCCCAAAGCAGCTAGGAGTTCAAATAAAAAAGGGGCGCCCCGGTGGCTCAGTCAGTTGAGCGTCTGACTTTGGCTCAGGTCATGATCTCATAGTTCATGGATTAGAGCCCCACATCAGGCTCTGTGCTGGTAGCTAGCTCAAAGCCTGGAGCCTATTTCGGATTCTGTGTCTCCCTGTCTCTCTGACCCTCCCCTGCTCATGCTCTCTCTCTCTCAGAAATTCAAAAAAAAAAACAAAGAAAAGAAAACTGCATCTTGCCAGTTTTGACTGATCTGACCAAAATCCCAGTTTGTTTGCTAAATTCTTGGTTCCCTTTGCTGTTCTCTTGGGGAAGGAGAGGACCTCATTTTGTACAGAGCAGTGAACCATTGTCGTTTATTAAACCTTGAGCTGTAATTCAGGCAGAGCAGCCCTTGGCATAGGACTGTGGATCCAAAAGATTAAAATCTGTCTCACTTTGGGACCCATGTCTTGTCAATTTTTCACCTACTGAATTGGAGAGAAGCAACATAAACAGTAAGAGCATCATTGTTCTCGAAGATGGTTTCATAGTAAATAAGGCATCTTTATAAAAATAAACATCCAGAAGCCATCTTTACAGGGCTTGCTATTTAAAAATTTCCTTGTGAATTGTTCGGTCTGGCCCTGACCTAATCTCTCTTTAAAATAAAAATGTACAGAAATCTATTTCCCATTTGCAAGAAGAGTCTGTGCGCCTCACTCGTTAAGAAGGACTGCTCAGGATTTAACGAGCCTGTGGCCAGCTCTGAGCTCATCACTAACTATGTACATTAGGCAATGTCTTCTAACTTCTCTGTAAAATGACAGCACTCTTGTAGCATCCCCTTCACAAGAGTGATGCATTTACGTGAGGTAACATGTGCACAGAGCACAAGAACACTGACATACAGTAAGCCCTCAACGCATGTAACTATTTTTGTTATTATGTCTTTACGCTGTGTTCAAATCCAAGTCCACCGTGAGGTCATTTCTTCTTAGCTAACCTGACATATGAAGATGTAAAACGTTGAGCCTAAATGGTCACGGGAAAAGATTTCTGAAATTTTTTCAACAATGCACTAACCACGAAATGTCTTCCTATGGGACTTTAGAAAAGAATCTTCTCCAGATAACAGAGCACATGCACTATTGACTTTCCTCCTGGTGAGAGTTAGGCACTTCTTCAAAGAAATTATTTCAAATTCTTTCCACAGATATGACAGCCATGCAGGGCCTTCCGTGTCTGTGAGGCGAACGAGTATGGTGAGTAACCAGAAACTAAACGCTATGCTCGGGAATCCAGCCTTCATGAGATCCCTGGTTGGCTACCTCCGTAAAGAGACTTCTCCTTGACTCTGTTTTAAATTTACCATAGAAGTCTTAGATTTCTCCTAGAGAGTTTAAAGTTTCCCAGCTGCAGTCGGTTTCCAGTTGGCTCTGCTACTGAAATACTCAAACAGCGGGCTCTGCTGGGAAGGAGTGAAGCCATGATGTGCCTTCTCCCTCGGGTCGCCCCTGTACATCCCTAAAGCACTGGGCAGAGCCAGATATGAGAGGCATCCGCTGCCCCTCTTACAACATCATTTGTGTTCAGAGTGGAAGCCGAGGACTGGCAGGATGCCCTTGGCTGGAACAAGGTGCCGTGGAGGGACTGACCCAACATAACCCTCCACCAAGGGCTTAGACTTCGGTTTATCTGTTCACATGCTTACAAGATTGAGAAGCTGTAAGTCTTTTGTGTCTGGCTTTTTCATGGTCTTGACTTTTGATCTTCACATGCCTCAGTCTTGCTGTGTGACTCATGTGTTTGGGAGATGAAAGAGAATCTTTTGGAAAGGACCTAAGGGTGCAGGAGGAAGGTAGAGGCTTTTTTCAATTTATTGTGGCCCTGGTGCCAATACCTACCTTTCTCTCTCTCCCTGCCCCCCGTCTTTTTTTTTTTTTTTTCTTCACAAAAAGCATGGTAGAATTCTAGTGAGGAGTACATACAAACAGAAGTTCTTTATTTCAGAGACAAAAGAGAGTCCCCTTTCTTCTTCAGCCTAATCTACCTCTTTCTGACCAACGCTGAACCCTAGCTTCTCTACGTGCTTGAGCCCCAACCAGGATATGAGTACCGATAACTACTTCACTCTCTTGGAGAAACTGCCATCATCCAGGCACTTGACAGAGATCATTTCACTTGATCCCCAGAGGAAATCTGTAAAGTATGCCATTATCACCCCCCTTTGAATGATGAAGAAACTGAGGTTCAGAGAACTTGAAGATCATGTTCAAGGTCACTGGCGAATGGTAGAGTTGAGATTAGAAAATCTGGGTTTCTGGGACTCCACAGCCAGAGGTCAGTAATGCCTGCAGCTCTGTCAGCCCAGAAGCGCCGCCTGTTTCTGAGCCCGGGGTTGCTCACCACCAGCAGACTCTCTTTTTACTGAGCAGGGACCGAGGGGTCACATCTCCAGCCCGGCCCTAGCAGGCTTCTGTGCTCCCGCTTGTCCTTGGAGAAGTACTCAGGGCCAACCTCCCTCACCATTCAAGAGTGCTGGGGTCTGAAGCAGATGAGGGATCAAAAAGAATGGCAAATGCAAACCGTAAGAGTCTTTTAACGATATCTCACGGGAATATACCCCCCAAACCAGGAGCACACTATACACTGCATGTTAGCCAACTTGACAATAAATTATACAAAAAAAAAAAAAAAAAAAAAAAAAGGATTGCAAATGCCTGGAAGTTTAAAATAGTAGAGCTAATTTGGAATTCTCAGGATATGAAAATCCAGTCTGAGGATTAATAGGTTATCTTTTGCTGGCCCTCCTGATTGCCACTTGCATTTAACCATTTCACTACTCAAAAACGTGTCCTTCTAAAAGGTAAGACTTGGGATTGGTAAGAAATGAAACTCAAGCCAGTGATTGTTGACTCCCATTAATAACTTTTATAAAAATTCAGAGAGAGAGGGGCACCTGGGTGGCTTGGTTCATTGAGTGACTTCAGCTCAGGTCATGATCTCGTGGTTCCTGAGTCCAAGCCCTGCGTCGGGCTCTGTGCTGATATCTCAGAGTCTGGAGCCTGCTTCAGGTTCTGTGTCTCCCTCTCTCCGCCCCACCCCTGCTCATACTTCATCTCTGTCTCTCAAAATTAAAGGTTAAAAAAATAAAATAAAATAAGGGCAGCTGAGTGGCTCAGTCACTTGAACATCTGACTTCAGGTCAGGTCATAATCTCATGGTTCTTGGGTTCAAGCACTGCATTGGGCTCTGTGCTGACAGCTCAGAGCCTGGAACCTACATCAGATTCTGTGTCTCCCTCTCTCTCTGCCCCTCCCCCATTTCCCCTCTGTCTCTCGAAAATAAATAAAATGCTTAAAAGAAAAGTGACAGAGAGAAAATAATGAAACTGTCTAAGCAAAGGTTTTGTGTGACATGTAGATTTCCATGATTTATTCATGGAAATCTTATATCCTTCACCAGCAAACAGCTGGAAGTTGGCCCTTGCTGCTGAGGCCATTGCTACTTGATCTTGCCAAGATCTGAGGTAATGAATTTCCCTTCACTTGGTTAGCAGCCTGCCAGGAATGGTACAAAGGGGATTCTGGTAGTTAATACGAGATTAGTCTGCATCGTTAGATGACCTTCCACTCAAAGAGAAGAAAGCTTCTATTTAAAAAAAAAATTTTTTTTTAATGTTTATTTATTTGTGTGTGAGAGAAAGAGAGAGCAGAGGAGGGGCAGAGAGAGAGGGAGACAGAATCCCAAGCAGGGTCCGGGCTGTCACCACAGAGCCTGATACAGGGCTTGAACCCATGAACCGCGAGATCATGACCTGAGCCAAAACCAAGAGTCGGACGCTTAACTGACTGAGCCATGTAGGTGCCGCAGAAAACTGCTATTTAAACATTTTCTTCAGCTTAACAGCAGCCAAGGTTTTCAGAAAACGGGATTTTCAGAAGTTAGAGAGAAGGTTCGAGATTTGTACTCAGTTTCTCCCAGCCGCAGCACGACTGACATTTTGAGCTGCTGCTGTTCTCTGTTGTGGGACCATCCTGTGTTCATATTCACAGGACGTGTAGCAGCTTCCCTGGCCTCTACCTTCTAGATGCCGAGAGTTCTCCACTCAACTGTGACAATCCAAAGCATCTCCAAAAAATGCCAATGTTCTTTGTGGGGCAGATTGCTCCCAGTGGGAGCCATCTCCTTATGGGTGAGGAAACTGGGGTCAAAGTGGTCACCATTTCTGAGACCAAAAACAGAGACAGATAGCCTTAGCTACGTGATCACTCCTCATGTCTGAACAATTTTGGCTGGGCCTGATGGTAGGTGATATGCCAGTCCTACACCCCCCATGACACACTGCCCGCATACTCAGCACACGGGCCAGCGTGGGCTTCCCGAGGCTGGGACTGTGTCTGCGTTCCCGTCTCTCCCCATTGCTGGGCACAATCTGAGCCCTTAAACACTGAAATAAGAAACGAACAAGTGCTTTTAAGCTGCAGGCGCACTGGTGGATTTGACCTTTGTGGGATAACAGACACAGAACAAATTCAGGAACACCCTGAAAAATTAATCTGTTGGCTTTGCCAAGGCATTCAATACTATCAGTGAGCTCAGGCTTCAGCTCCAACAGCTGCTGTACAGGTTTGGCTGCCCCAGGAAGTTCTCAGATAGTCTCAGGTGACTCTGTGACAGAAGGTCTGTTTGTCTCATCGTGTCAGAATTGCAGGCAATATCAGTAGAGTGAATCGGGGTGAGTAAAAGGCTTCATTTTGCTCAGCCTTTTTTGTGGACCGCGTTTGAGAATGTAACTGACATCCTAAAAGCCAGCATTTTCAGACTCTGGTTTCTAATGCTTTGAAACACTTTTCTAATTCGTTACACGGTAAGCATCAGCAGGAATTCTCCAGGAAATCCTCCATAACCACTGACAAATAGTGATGGGCTGACAATGAGGACTCACTAGGCTCTGGCCACCGTTAGAAAGTGTTGTATGGCGATTAATTCATAATCTTCAGCACCACCCAGTAAGCTGGGGGGAGGGGCGCTGCTACTATCATCATTATTCTTCTTTCTTCATTTTACCAAGAAAGAAATGAAGGTACAGAAAGGTTAAGTAGCTTGTCCAAAGTGATATCACTGTTAAGGGGCAGAAGTAGGGTTTGGATGTGTGGAACTCCTGCGTCTGACCATTATGCTTTCTTCCCTTAGTTGTCCTTTTCCAAGTCCTAATATTGTAAATACTTGGTGTCTCGATTTTTGTAATCTTTACTAGAAATCTCGTTTGTGTAATTTCCTACCTTGGTCTGCTAGAAATCAACCCCTAACTGCATGTGCATGGAGGGCATGGAATGCTTAAAGCAAGGTTTTTATCCACAGAGTTTACCATCTAAATGAGGATCGTGTACATGAGTAAAATACCAGTAAACAACAACATAATGGAAAGGACGGGGTTAGGGATCAGATCACATGAGTGTGAATAGCCAGTGCTACCATTTATTATTCACATGACTTAAATAGGGCACTTATGCAAGACTCCGTTTTTTCATCTGCAGAATGGGAACGATAATCCCTACCTAACTTGCAAATTTTGTTCTAAGGATCTGATGAGAGAGGGTATTTTGAAAGTATATTGAAAACGGAATAAATGGGTTATTTTGCTCAAATGTTAGATAGTTGGTATCAAGTGACTGTACAAAAATGGGGTTGAGAAGTTCAGAAGCAGGTAAAGGTATGGTAGGAAGAGAGGTGTTGGAAATCCGCTCAGTAAATATTAGCGAGTCACTTACACATGGATGGTATGCTGGGTGCTCAGGATACGGAAGAGAATACTAGTTATTGTACAAGTTCATCCACTTACAGGGTCCTAATCCATTTGTCTTCAAATGCTTGGTTTCCAGGACCAGGGCGGGGACTGAAATGTGTGGTAGGCAGGAAGGAGAGAGGTCTAATGATAGAGTCAAAGTGGAAAGAAGGTAGACGCTTCAGTAGGACATCATGGGTATAATAATATGCACCATAATAGGTTTGTACCATAATAGGTATAAAAACACTATGGTAACGAATTCTTCCCAGGGAGAGAGCTCACAGAGACAGTGATAGATGAGCTGGACACCGAAGGATGCAGTGCCGTTTTCTAAGAGAAGAGGGGAGAGGGCAGAGATCAGGAGCAGAGACGTGAAGGTCTAGGATGAAGAGCACAGCATTTTAGAGAACTGTGCGTAGTGAGCTTGGAGCACAGGGCCCTTGAAGACCGTAGGGGAGGAATGGCTGAAATTCAAGGTTGGAATAGCATTTCAACCCGATTTTGCTGCGGGGTTGTTTTCAACCTCCTCCTTTAGGCTAGAATGGGAAATAGGCTTTGTCTTTTATGGCAACTCCATGGCGCGGAACGTGGTTTTGAGAAGGATTCCAAGATGGAGTCCTGTCCGAGAACCCATGCTCTGGGCCGCAAAGAGATTTATCTCCATTGTAGGTGAGAGGAAACTTCTCCCCAGCGCCTCTCAGACCTGTGTTTGGCCTCGAGGGTGCTTCCAGATAGGATGTAGTGCGCTAATAAACTAAGAAAACAGTAAAGACATGCGACTGAGCTTGGGCTCTGGACTCTCACAGACTGGGAAGAAATCCTTCCCTCCACCAGTGTGACCTGAAGCAAATGACCTGACCTCTTGAAATCTCATTTTTCCCAAATGAAGCAACTTCATAGGGTCATTAAAGTAATGAAATAAGGTAATCTGTAAAGACCGCAAAGCACATTGCCTAGAATATTCAGCTGCTAATAATAATAAAATAATAATAATAATTAATAATGATACTAACTACTCACATATAGCTCAAATAAAAGGAATACAGTAATAGTATTCAATCCTCTCTATGTTTGGTATCTACCATAGACTAGTATGACTTCTTTTATTTACATGAGAGAGAGAGAGAAAGAAAGCAAGCATCAGAATCTTAAGCAGTCTCCATGCTCAGTGCAGAGCCTGAAGTGGGCTTGAACCCACGGCCCTGGGATCATGACCTGAGCCGAAATCAAGAGTCGAGCTCAATCAACTGAGCCACCCAGGCAACCCCAGGAGTGACTTTTTTAACTGCTTTGTCACTGGAAAAAAAACATGCTTGCAGAGTTCAAATTGATCGTGATCTCTCTGTATTTCCTCTTAGTCATATAATTTGTACCTCTATGTGGAGGAAGCATCCATAATATGTTGGACGAGTAATGTTGGTTTTAAAGCAGGGGATTTGGGCAGATGTATGACCAAAGGAAGTTATATTCAGGGTCTCTAAGAGGTAATAATGTGTCCCATCTTAGAGAAGTTCATCTCTTCACCTGAGCCCTCAGTCTAAGTATTTTGCACTTAAGTATGAATTTTCATTATAAAAGCATATGATCCATGAGGCCAAAAGGAATGTATTCTGGTCTATATAGAGGAAATCTGGAGTTTGTTTGGGTGTTAAAAATGGTTAAGAGACACCGATGCCTGCTATTCTCTTAATCAGATGCATGTAGTCCACACAAATGATTGGTTTCTGGTTTTATTACCTACAAATGGTATCTTACTGTAGTTATGCTTTGCCTTTAATATTTGTTTACCCCTGAATTTTATATTAGTGTGTTAATTATTATATCCGATGATCTATATCCTAAGTTATCACAGGATTGTTTTTCTCTTATTCGTAAATCCTTGTGTGTATTCCATTACACACAGAACTGAAAACTACTAGTCATTAAAATTTGGGCAGGGCTCCTGCAAGAAATAATGACCTCGATCTTGAGAAGGAAAGTAGCAGGAGTAAAACTACGGGATTGTGAGGAATGTGGAAATCAAGAGAACCTGGCGTTTGGAATCGGACAGACCTGTGATAGAGAAGTGAAAATGCTGGAGCTTTGGAAAAGTTAGAAATTGGTCTTGGGCATTCAAAGGAAATAAAGCGTAATGGCCAACACCAAATGGAAAGAGAAAACTTGGGGGGAAGAGGTACCCAAGAGGCAAGGACTGAGGAGCAGCGTGAGCTAACAACAGTCGCTGAACGGAAAGTGCTAGCCTTGTGCAGGGACAGCTGCAGGAGTTAGAGTCCTCAGCGACAGAGCTGGTATCACAGAGGAAACGCAAATGGCGTTTTGGCAAAAGAAAGTGAAGCTATGGGAGTGGATAATCCCCCAAGGTCATGGAGGCGAATTAAGCTTGCAAGTAGGGTGGTGATGGATTTGAAGAAATCAAGATGGGGCACCTGGGGGGCTCAGTTGGTTGAACGTCCAACTTTGGCTCAGGTCATGATCTCATGGTTTGTGAGTTCGAGCCCCGTGTCAGGCTCTGTGCTGACAGCTCAGAACATGGAGGCTGCTTCACATTCTATGTTTCCCTCTCTCTCTGCCCCTACCCCACTCTCTCTCTCTCTCTCAAATAAAGAAAAATTAAAACAATTAAAATATGTTAAGATAAAAAGTTGCTGTAAAGAAAGGAAAACGACATTAGCCCTATATCATCCTCCTAAGCCCAGTAAAACTAGCAGTGGTGTTTCAAAAAAACCAACCATTTATAAGGTCATACTTTTTAGCACCTTTGATTCAGGGAGCACCGTTAATCAGCTCCTATGTCTGTCTAGGAAGTTCTACCATTCTGCATGAACTCTCTGGATAGAGATACTTTTTGTTTTCATCTAAATGCAAGTTCACACACCTTAAGGTCCACTACAGGCTTCAGCTAGCCAGCTCTTGACAGCCCCGAGGATGGTGTTAAATCTAAAATTCCAGCCACTGGGGCCATGAAGACCACACTCCCAAATCAAGAGAGGTCAATTTCTTTCCTGTTTTCTAGAAACCTCCCTAAGATTTGTGTGGGGCTGTACAAGTTTGTAGGAGTATTTGGCAGAGAGAAACTCAAGATTTTGCTTGAAGACTCATCCTAAAAACCATTAGTGTAGATATAGAGAAGTGTGTGATCACTTGCAAATGATAGAAATAACGAAACGTTGTGCATTGAGAAAGAAGTGTTAGAAAAATTGATGTGTGGTCCTTAGACTTTAAGGTTTGGGCAATTTTTGTGGGGACACATGAGTATTCTGGTAGAGAAGGTGCAGAAATAATCTTGCATTTTCTGTTTTAAAATTAGCAGGCAAAATTATACAGCTCACCTCTGGAAAATCAACCCGTTGACAGTGTCTTTGTCCCGGGGCCAGCAGGCATGAGAGAGGGAAGTGGTATGCCTCCCTGGGATGCTTCGTTGCTGGAAAATGAGTTTTTCCAAGGTAAGTCTGTGCATTAACCTGCCTTTGGGACTCCCTGTGCGAAAGCACATCATGATTACAGTTTGTGTTAAGGTGCTCAAAACATATCATACCCTATACTTAATTTCTGAAATCTTTTTATTTGCCTTATCTGAAGAGGAGGCCGTTCTGCTCTTTATTGTATTTTTTTAATGTTTACTTATTTATTTTTGAGAGACGGAGTGAGAGTAGGGGAGGAGCAGAGAGAGAGAGAGGGAGAGAGAGAATCCCAAGCAGGCTGCATGCTGTCAGAACAGAGCCCACTGTGGGGCTTGGTCTCACGAACTGTGGCTTTGTGACCTGAGCTGAAATCAAGAGTAAAATATGCAACCGACTGAGCCACCCAGGTGCCCCTATTACATGCTATTAACACAAATATTAAAGAATCTTATACTTAAATATAATCTAAGCAAATAGGCTCAGACCAAGGCTGATAAATCTGTAGAATGAGAATAATGTTTAATATGAAGCTCAGGTAAAAGGAAATGCCTTTTTAGGAAATATGTCTATAAAGTTTACCGTTCCTAAATAGACTTTTATTGTTCCCAATCAGTACCTAAATGCACAGTGATAAAATCGAGTTGTTGTTGGAAAATTAACCTTGTACAACAGACAACAGTAGACTGAAACAGATTCCAAAGACAGAGAGAGACAGAGCATGAGCAGGGGAGGGTCAGAGAGAGAGGGAGACACAGAATCCGAAGCCGCTCCAGGCTCTGAGCTGTCAGCACAGAGCCTGATGCAGGGCTTGAACTCATGAACCGTGAGATCATGACCTGAGCCAAAGTGGGGCACTTCACCCACTGAGCCGCCCAGGTGCCCCAAGCATAGGTCCTCCTTACATAAGTTACTCTGTATCATCATAAGAAACTCTGAAGTCATTTTCCAGCTTCAGCCCCAGGAACTAAATCCGGTTTGCATAGGCACGGACCTTCCCTGGCGCTGTAGTTGGGACACAGGTGGGGCGGTCAGGGAGAGACGTCCCCAGATGGTTCCTAGGAGAGAACCTGCTTCAGAGAAAAGAAGCCCAGAGGAAAATCTCTGTTTGAAAACAAAGCTTTTGCTAGTGCAGGAGAGCTACCGTTTATGAAATGAAAAAAAAATGATTTGTCCTCTCTGCAAATGAAGAGGAAACACAGAACAGATTTTTTTTTTTTAATCTCAAGAGTAATGAATAAAACAGCATTGTTAACCTGGGATTCTAAGTGACTGAACAATTTAGAATCTTTCTCTGGGGATGTTAAGAGGTGTTATATCTGGGGCGGATTCCAGGTGATTTTACCTCTTTTGTTATACTTTCCTCTATTTTCTATGTAGGCAGCAAAAGACTTTAAGGAAAATAAACCCCCACAAATAGCTTGAAAGGGAGAACAGAAATCAAAGAGATTTTATTATAATTTGTTTTAAAGACAGATTTTTTTAGTCACTCAACAGTTTTGTTTTATTTTTGCCACACCTTACACTTTGGCACTGTTTGATTTTTGTGTGTGTGGATATATGGAATTATTTCAGAGACTGGAGATAAATATTTTGTCCTTCATTTTTTTTTTCCCTTCAGGGTGATTCCCCGAAGAATTCCTTAGTTACAGATCTTTAATTCTCAAGATGAGTTCTTCTGCTGGCTGTGCATGTTAAATAGCACCAGCGTACAAATAAAACAGGGCAGGGGATGCCCAGAGCATCAGAAATCTCTTCAGCACTTGCCCCAACACAGTTGACATGTCCACAGATACATCCCACATATGTTCACAAATACTGACTCTGTCATTGAAGAGTTAAACTCAAATTTTTTAAATGATTATTTTTTTACTTTTCGGGGGGGGGAGGGGCAGAGAGAGAGAGGACACAGAATCCAAAGCAGGCTTCAGGCTCCAAGCTGTCAGCACAGAGCCCGACGTGGGGCTCGAACCCACAAACCGTGAGATCATGACCTGAGCTGAAGTCAGATGCTTAGCCGACTGAGCTACCCAGGTGCCCCAAAATCAAATTAAAAAAAAAATTTTTTTAATGTTTATTAATTTTTGAGACAGTGAGAGACAGAGCTTGAGGTGGGGAGAGGCAGAGAGAGAGGGAGACAGAGAATCAGAAGCAGGCTCCACACAGGCTCCGAGCTGTCAGCACAGAGCCTGACGCAGGGCTCAAACCCACAAACTGTGAGATCATGACCTGAGCCGAAGTCGGACACTTAACCGACTGAGCCACCCAGGCGCCCCAAAATCAAAATTTTTAATGACAAATAATCGTAAATAACCAAGGAGAGAATGTATCATTTTATGTAACCCAGGAGGAAAGGTAGGACTTCTTCCGCAACCTAAATAATCCTATAATTTATTTCTCAGGCAACTTTTGATCCTCATTAATGAACATTTCTTCAATAAACACATAATCTGCTTGTTTGTGTTTATTGGAATATGAATAGGGTAAAATATTTCCACCAGAGGATGGCCCTTAGGGAATCTTGAGACCTTAAAAAAAATTATGGTTCTATTTAAATTCTGACAGGTTTTTATTGAGGAAAAGAGGTCAAATATAATTAAATAAACACCATTCAAAGACACAGAGGCTGTGGTCCTAGTAAGCATGATCTTGGGGTCTCAGATTCCCCTAGGTCCTCCGTATTATGCGGAGGTCACTGGGCTCTGACATGGACACCGCCCTCTGACCTTGCCATTGAGAGAAAAGTAAACATTGTTTAATAGCAGTGACTTCAAATCCTTGTAGCATTAGGAGCTTATAGTGAAGTCATCTTTATAATTCATTAAAAGGAAAAATGAGGGGCGCCTGGGTGGCTTAGTCGGTTAAGCGTCCGACTTTCGCTTTGGTCATGATCTTTCGGTTTGTGGGTTCGAGCCCCGCGTCGGGCTCTGTGCTGACTGCCAGCTCAGAGCCTGGAGCCTGTTTCAGTCTGTGACTCCCTCTCTCTCTGACCCTCCCCTGCTCACACTATCTCGCACTCTCTCTCTCCTAGAAATAAATAAAACATTAAAAAATTAAAAAAAAAAAAGGAAAAATGAAAAGTGAGCTGTTATGACATAGGTGCTACACTGTGCAGACTCAGGAGACCGACGTCCTGGATCCTCTTCCTAGCTGTCCCCAACACCTGAATCTGTTCATGCCTCAGTTTCCTCATTTATAAAACAAGAATAGTAATAGTACCAATCTTAGAAGGTCATATGAGGCTATAATGAATTAATAAATTAAGTGCTTAGAACTGGGTCTGACATATAGAAAGTACAATATTATAGGGGTGATAATTGCTCTTAATTTTTCCAGGAAAAAACAATCTACCATGAGCATTGATACATTTAGAGTTGTAGAGAAATCTAAATTTTATATGTTGCTGAAATCCATCCAACTAAGTATGTTTATACATTTTTTTAAATTTTTATTATTTATTTATTTATTTATTTTTATTGAGAGAGAGAGAGACAGAGACAGAGACAGAGGCAGAGACAGAGAGTGAGCAGGGGAGGGGCAGAGAGAGAGGGAGGCACAGAATCTGAAGCAGGCTCCAGGCTCTGAGCTCTCAGCACAGAGCCCGAAGTGGGGCTCGAACTCACGAACTGCAAGATCATGAACTGAGCCGAAGTCTGACACTTAACTGACTGAGACACCCAGGTGCTCCTATAAATTTTTAAAAATATGTTTATAAATTACATGCTTAAGCTTTTGGTAATAATGCTGTTTTCTTAACAGTACAACTGAGAAATCACACGTTATTTATAGACTCTCATTTTTATTGAGGTCCTCTGAGGTAAACATGGTGGGAAATATCTTAGCTACCCTAGTGAAGCAAAAGATAAGCTAAAAAATAAAAACACCACAATTAAAATGCTGTTAGAAAAGAAAAATGTAGCTTTATGTTCTTAAGTCATCATGGAAGGTTAGTTTTGAAAAAGTATGGTTTGGAAAAGCGTGAAAAAGAAACTTCCACTACAACCCTGTAAAAGTCAGTCTCTTAAAAACATAATCTAAATTAATGTCCTCACATTTATATAAAGAGGTGCCTGGGGGCGCCTGGGTGGCTTAGTCGGTTAAGCGTCCGACTTTCACTTAGGTCATGATCTCGCGGTTTGTGGGTTCGAGCCCCGCGTCGGGCTCTGTGCTGACTGCCAGCTCAGAGCCTGGAGCCTGTTTCAGTCTGCGACTCCCTCTCTCTCTGACCCTCCCCTGTTCACGCTGTCTCTCTCTCTCTCCTAGAAATAAATAAAACATTAAAAAAAATTTTTTTTTAAAAAAGAGGTGCCTGGGTGGCTCAGTCAGTTGAGTGTCCAACTTTGGCTTGGGACATGATCTCACAGTTTGTGGGTTCGAGCCCCATATTGGGCTCTGTGCTGACAGCTCAGAGCCTGGAGCCTGCTTTGGATTCTGTGTCTCCCTCTCTCTCTGCCCCTCCCCTGCTCATGTTCTCTCCCTCAAAAATAAAGGTTAAAAAAATTTTTTTAAATAAAATTTGTAAATGATTTTGTTTTTTGAAGAGGGACCTCAACAACTCATTATTATTAGACTGTAAAATCTTATATTACAAATAACCTGACCCATGTTCTCGTTTCAGTTTTAGATGACCTAGATAATAAACTGGCTCAGGAGCAATGTCCAAGCTCAGGGAATACCGCAGCGCCTCTCAGCTATGGATCAAGATCACAGCTCAGTCATTTTTACTCCAGGGGGAGCACACACAGCAATATCACAGGAAGGTATCAAAACCACCATAACGGAGCTTCTAATATGTCTATCTATGACATCCTAAGACCAGGAACCCCTAGGGAAGGTTTTAAAACCTTTTCTCCTAGGACAAAAACAATTTATGATATGTACCGGACAAGGGAGCCCAGACTCTTAAAAGAAGATTACGTGCAAAAGAATACTTTCGGTAGTACTTCTGTGTGTTTCGACAGCAGACAGCCGTCAGCTTCACCGGCCACAGTATACTTCACAACAAGAAGCTTACATTTTCCAACCATAACTCAGAACAAGAGTGGGTTTATCCCACCAAGGCACCGGCAGAGCCCAAAGAGAACCCCTTTATCATCCATCATATGGAATAGATCAGATTCTTCTGGAGACAGGCAAAGCCAGGAAGAGTTCCTGGGGGCACCTTCGCCAATGGAGGTTGACGCTGCTGACCAGTACATGTATCCCAGGTGTTTTCAGGAGGATAGGAGACATGAATTTTACTGTTCGCAGAGTGTTTACCAAGGTGTTCATTTGGACACCCCCATGGATAATGCAATGAGTCCTGACCCATTTGAGAACTCGGAAAATATGCCATTCTACCATCAAGGACACCCATTTGCTAGATCTTTCTCTAGCGGTACCTTTGGACAAAGCAGGGAACCAAGATTTGGACAAAGTCCTCTTTGGGGCCGACAGGAAGAACATTCTTTCTGGTCTGACTTCCATCAAAGTAGGCATCCATTCACTTCTCACAGAGACTCTGAAATGATATCCTTTGAGGCATCAGCTGGTCACGGCCATAGTGTTCGTTCTCAACACTGGGAATCATTTTCTCCTGGTTACAGAACAAACGCTTTCAGAGATCAAGAAGAGCCACATCTCTGGCAGTTTGATTCTCAGACATCCACACTGGAGAGCATGGAGGTGTTGCAAGGTAATGAGAGCCAGATGACTCATTTCAGCATACCAGATGTCTGCCCCGTGACTGGTCCCGGCTATCGCTGCAGATCTGGCAGGTCAGTATGTCAACGGCGCGGCCCTCCTATAGGAGTTCACGCAGACAAAGAACCTTACTCGTTTGGAATTGCTCCGACGACTCTAGCATCGTCATTCAAAGCCTCCTTCCCCCAGAGTCCTGGTGACAGAGGGAACGCTCAGAGGCCTAGCTTTCAGAATCCCACAGTCACTGTGCAGAAAACTAAGCCTGCCTCTCTGCCAGTGAAAAGGTATACAGAAGTCCCTGTGACCCAGAGCGATTCAGTCGATTCTCCACCTCTTACTGAAAGCCCATCCAATATTCTGGTCACACAAGTGACTGATGAGAAAGCCTTGAATGAATCTATTCGGGAAGAAGACAAACAGCTACACAGGAGGGACCACACAAATGTGACGGGTGAAATGGCCCAACCTGTTTCACAGACCGTGATCTCTAAACATTCCTTGGACTTCCAAAATCCCTTCTCCCAGGACTCAGCCAGAGGCGAAGGGTTTGCTTTTAATGCATCTACCACAGTAAGTTCAAAAAGGTCACCTGGAGGCATTGCCAGGAAAGAGATCCCCAAAATTCATATATCACACAGAGAGAGAGCCAATGAACTTAAAAAAGATAAGAATTACACTGGGAACAGAAAACTTGGCTCGGCAACTTCCCTTCCTTTCATTCAGGAACGCAGAACAGCGTCTTTTCCCAGCCCAGATCAAGGTGGTCACCAGGCAGTAAGAGCAAGTAATGAAGATACTTCAGGCATTGTTAAAAATAACCATTGGAGCTCTGAACCTGCTGATGATCAAAAGGCACAATCTCCAGAAAAGTCTGCTATTTCAGATATCAAGGAAGAACAAGGCACCACAAGTCATTCTACAAACTGTAGCAAACCAGCTTCTGGTCATAAGATCCCATGTGATTATTCTCATCTGTCATCAGGTATATCTGCTAGGGGTCATCTGTCACCTGGTTCCTCACCATCGAATAATTCTTTCCTTGATAATCTGGCGATTCCTTCCACAACAGTCTTCTCCAGGAAAAGTCCTCCAGGCAAGGATCCCTCTCAGGGAGAAAGGGCACAAAAGGACAATGATAGCAAGGACCAAAGTGATCAGTTTGCCCTAAGCCCCTCAGAAAACCCAAAGTGTAACGAGAAGTGTGTGCTTGTACTCAGTGAGGTCGTTGATGTTGTCAAATGCCATTCTCACTCTCCTTTCAAGGATGGGAAAGGAAAAGGAAAAATAAGACGACGTGTATCCTCTGTGGAAAAGTTAAGCAAAATGGAAAGTAGATCAGCACCCAGGAGTGATAACAGTAGCTCTGTTGAGACAAATCAAAGCAATTCCAAGCCTCCTGAAATTCACACAACTTCCTGTACCTCTCCAGCAAAATCAGCCAGCTCTCTCATCAATGACAGGAAGTCGGAAAGTAAGACAGTGATGTCTTCGTGTAGGAATGAACCACTTCCATTCCCAACCAAAAACAGCGTGGAACACCCAACAGGGAAATACACACTGAACAAACTCAGTCCCAGTTCTTCCGAGTCAGAAAGCACACGTTCCAACACAGTGTCAGACTCGGTCCCAGCAGCACCTGAAGCCACGGAGAAGATGACAAACCTGAAAAACACTGGGTTTGCTTCTGTTAGACCACTTCCGTTCCTCATCAAGAGGGCCGTGTCGTGTCCGTCAGGGGTACCAGATGCTTCCGATGGGAGAGACAAAAGAGAAGAAAGCTTGGTCTCAAACCCAGATGCTTCAGCTATAACACCTAAACCTCAGGAGGTGATCATTAGCCCTCTGGAAAATAATTCATCTGTTAGCGATTTGTCTTCACCCAAAAGACACCACCAAAAGGAACACTTTCCAGAATGTACTGAAAAGGATGGTAAAACTGCTCCCTCCAGGACAGGTCCGTTTTCCCTTTCCAATGAAGACCCTTTGCCTTTTTCTTCAGACATGCCAAGAAAAGAAAGTGGGAAAACGTTACATAAATTTAAGACTACTAGCATGTTTTCTGTTTCTGGCGATGAAGATAACGTAAAATGTCTTGAGGTGGTTTCGGTATATTACACTCTACCAAGGAAATACAGCAAAAAATTCTCTCACCTTCTCGAGAAGTATACACAATGTATAGATTCGCTTACGGAATCAACTAAAGTGGATGCTGAAACATTTACTAAAGCTTTTGAAAAGGACAAACTAAATTATTCTACACAAGAGCAGCTAGGAACACCTTCATCTGAAGGTCTAAAGATTCCAGTCAACTCTGCTCAGGAGAAGACCCGCTGTCTTTCTCACACCACTGAAAATAGGGCCACTTCACAATCACCAAGCATTTGGCCCTCAGAACCAACCTTACAGCAAGTGGATTCTACGCAGGCAGGTGTTTCTTTTCATAAAGGAGAATCTAAAACTAGAGAGATTTCCCCAGATAGCCTCACTAAAACACCTCTAGGTGATTTGCAGAGCAGAAAAGAGAGAGGGAAAAGATCACAAAGTGAAACTCTGCCTACTTCATCAATGCTTCAGGGAAAAAAAGGCACAGAAGAGAAAGCTGAAAACCATCAGCCATCCAGTAAATCCGGCCACAGTGGTCCTTCTAATCTCCCAGCCCATTCAGAAGAGAATGTTGGAAATTCCCAAAACGCAGGAAGTTCCAGGGAATGTGCAGGTCCTGGGATAGACTTTACAGCTACAGGAACTGAAGGAGGCCTTCAGAGAGAGGCCGTGGATGGTAGCTCCAATGGATTGCAGCCCAGTCAAGTAAGAGGGGAAATCGGAACAGATTTCCAAACAGAGACCAATAAAGTACTTTCTGACTTGGAAAGCCAAGTCTTTGGTCTTACTCCAGCTTTGCGTAAACTACAGCTTGATGAAGGGACTTGTTCAGGTGAACCAGATTTAGACAGTTCACAGTCTGAACCCAGAGAGCTACCCCCAAGGAGTCAGGGGATGAGCACAACAGAGAACAGCGGGGTTGAAGATGAAATGCAGAAGTTGGCATGGGATCCACCTTCATTTCCTGAAGGAAGCAGTAAACAGAAAACCAGCTTGGATGACCCAGAAAAGGGGAAAAACAGATCGGTAGTAAAACACGGATCGGCAGCCATGTCCAAAGCAAGCAGAAAATTCCCAGCTAAGGATTTAAGCCCCAGAAGACATGTAGCCACTATCTTTCCACAAAGTGGGAATAGTTCTGGCCCTGACAGTTTATCTCTTGGCAAGGCCAAGTGCAATCTACCATCCCCTGAGCCTACTCCAAAGTCCATAGAATCCAGAAATGAAAGCAGGTTGAGTAGGGATATAATGGATGTGGAAAAATCAGAGAACTCTCTCCAGGTCACTGTAATATCCAACAGAGAAGCTTCTACACACTTAAGCAATCCGAAGTCTAACAGCATTTCACAGCTACATCAGAATGAATCTAAAAATATCTCAGAATCATCACCAATGTATGAGAAGTCTGAAGATGTCACAGCAGCTCAGACTTTGGAAAGAGAGTCAGGAGTCTTGGCCCCACCCACATTCACCAGCTTCGGGGAAGCTGATTTCTCTGACCCTGAGACAAGAATGAACTCTCTTTTTCCTTTGGAGCCTACAGAGAAATCTAGAGTAAGCATCCCATTGGCCAGTTATCAGCAACAACAAAGAAGTCCTTCCTCTCTGGAGTGGGGACCTGAACCATACCCCTGTCTTTCAAACAGTTTAAAAAGCATCAATGTGCACGGTGATCTGGTACGCAAAAGTCACCCTCCAAAAGTCAGGGGGCGCCATTTTTCTGAGAGCACTTCTATTGACCATGCCCTGAGTGAACTGACCCTTGGGGATGAATTCTCTGCCAACAGCGGGTACAATCGAAGATTCAGATCCTTTTCTGAGCTTTCCTCCTGTGACGGAAATGAAAACCGGGCTTTGAGTAGCGGCAGAAAAAACATGGGGCCCAAGTTTGCAACATCTATATCTAGACCTATTGATTATGGAATTTTTGGGAAAGAACAACAGCTGGCTTTCTTGGAGAATGTAAAGAGGTCACTTACCCAAGGAAGATTATGGAAACCAAGTTTTCTTAAGAACCCCGGCTTCCTGAAAGAGGATGTAATTAACCCCCCTCAGCCAACAGGGCCACCAAGCTCATATTCTGCTAGCAGCCAGATGCCGGAACATGCCTTATCTCCAAGTGCACCACTTCATATCTATGAAGAGACCCCTGTCGACTCAGATTGTGACACAGACACAACCACCGACGACGAATACTATCTGGACGAAAATGACAAAGAGTCAGAACTGTGAGGCTCTTCAGTGACATGTATATAACCTTTCCACCAAAAGTGTGTAACGGGAATAAAGTGTAAATGTGTACGCCCTTGAGAAGGACACGTATAAAAAGATCTAGTGTGAGCAGCACCTGCTCTTAAACAACTCAGATGCTCTTCCCCCCCCCATACTATATAAACATATATAAGCATTATATGCTTTTATACCTTTCATTGTCATTTACAACCCTAATATCCCAGGCACACACAAAACTTATTAGTTACCCAGAACAACCACAAAATTCTGTATGGCCTCTTCCTTTTTTAAAAAACATTTTTTTAATGTTTTTTTTTTTTTTTAAATTTACTGAGAGAGAGAGAGAGAAAGACAGAGAGAAAGAGAGAGACAGTGCGAGCAGGGGAGGGTCAGAGAGAGAGGGAGACACAGAATCGAAAACAGGATCCAGGCTCTGAGCTGGCTATCAGCACAGAGCCCGATGCAGGGCTCAAACCCATGAACCACAAGATCACAACCTGAGCCAAAGTCGGATGCTTAACTAACCGAGCCACCCAGGCGCCTCTGTATGGCTTCTTCCAATCCATGCCCTATATTCATGACCGTAAAAAAAGTGTAGGGATGATGACAATGGAGTAAATATCATCCTGTTTAACTCATCAGCATTTAGAAGGATTAGGGTTTTTTTTTTCTTTCAAACAAAGATAAGGGAATTTTCACAAGGGCATGGTATTATATCCATAGTGAGCCAGGGAGCAGATGTTTGATGTATTTGTTGAGGTCATAGATGAGGAACTGGTGAATCCCCTTTAAGCCAAGAATATTAGTACTCCTGGCAATACCTTTGAAGACATTGGTACACTTTGGCTGACTTGTTACAGGCTGAATTAAAAACAAAAATTTTTTTTAATGTTTATTTACTTTTGAGAGAGAGACAGAGCATGAGCAGGGGAGGGGCAGAGAGAGAAGGGGACACAGAATCTGAAGCAGGCTCCAGGCTCTGAGCTGTCAGCACAGAGCCCGATGCAGAGCTCAAACTCACGAACTGTGAGATCATGGCCTGAGCCCAAGTCAGAAGCTCAACCGACTGAGCCACCCCGGCTCTCCTAAGGGCTGAACTTTAATCCAGTCAAGGACTCAGACCAGGCAACATGCTGGTGCACCAGGTGGCTTGGCCACAGACTGTGCGTAGGAGGGGAGCATGGCTGGGGATGTAGGTACGTGGATGTCCACCATCGGACTGGATTATCCTCCCTGCAGCTCTCTCCAGAGCTAGCTTTTCCCATTTCTCCACGACTATCCATTTCTCTATTTGTATTTGCAGGACAGAACACTTTGTTTTCTTCTGTGCACATTCTTGTCATGAATATCACGTGGGAGCACTGGCCAAGCCCCTCAAATGCTGCCGAGTCAGATCAGACGCCTTGGCGTTCACAGTCTTGTTTGCAGGATCATTTACCAAACCGATGGGGAATTAGAAGGCGGAGCTTCTCAGGGCTTTCCCTTAGAATTCTCTCAATAATTTCTCTAGACTAAATACTTTTCATACCCACTAACTTGGTTTTCTAACTCTTTAGCTGCCAGGCAGAACTTCTGGAACTTTCTCTCCTAACAGGGTAAACACCAGTAGATGGCAGTGAAGCAAATGACTAGAACTACAGAAAGCAATGCCTTTTGGGATTTTCATACTGTGAGGGTCAACGTGAATGGTTATATTTGCTTCCTGGCCTAATTTTATTCTCCATTTTGCTCACCTAGTCTGTTTCATCCATATAAATTAAGGATAATGGTAGTGCTGGTCAAGCAAACAGAGATCTGGAACTGATGGAAAAGCAAGAAAGAACTCTGTTATTATTATCCTCGTAACCATTGCTCTGCCCGGAAGCAAAATGCCAGAGCTAATTTACATCATTTCCATGACTCTCCAAACCAATAAACATGTGGTAACTAACATGAAAGCTATTCCCTGAATCTGTAAATTGTTTTAAAGTTCAGGCTCCCACCAATACCAAGCTCAAAAAGACTGATCATAGCATTTTAAATCAACTGTTCTGAATATTTCAATTTGTATGGTAAAGAGCAAATAACATTCTATCCTTTTTTTTAAAAATTTATGTTTGTAAATTCTACCTTTCCCCTTTTACTATTTATCTGATTATTTAAGTAAAATTTTCATAAACCATGACTTAAGTTTTCCATGTGATTTTTAAGATATTCAGTTATTACTTTAATATTAAGCTTCTCGATTTTTGAAAAATGATGGGCTTGCAAGTTCTATTTCAGTAAGTATTCTGAGTTTACATGTATGTTACAAAAGGTGAAATGAAGTTAGCTTACTTTTCACTGAGTTTAGGCTGTAGCAACTGTCAGTTAACGTGAGGATTAACAACTACCCCAAGGTCCTACTTCTCTGAACTAGAATCTACCATGTGAATTCGAAGGTAATTGATGACCAATGCAACTTGCACTGTTTGCTTGTTGGTCTGGCTCAAGCATCAAGAAAACCAAAAATTCATAAAAATAGCACCTTCTATAGTTTTATACTTTTATAAAAAACTTCGTTAAAGAAGTACAGCCAATTTCTATGTATTTTAACAAACTGCTGCTTTTTAATAGTCATTTTTGATATAGCTGTAGTAATTTATAATCGTGATTTTTATACACCTGACTTGTTTTCTCAAGGATACAATCATTATTAAAATATTCATATAAATGGAGTAAATCATGAGGAAATCTCTTCTAAGAAGTACCTTTACATTATTAACTTATTTAGATCATGGACTTCAACTGTACTCTACAAGGCTTAATGAGGTAATTTTCATTTTTGGAGACCTCCTTCTAAATAATTTACCCCCTTACGTTGTAAATACATTGATGTTAAAACTCCCAACTACTACTAATGAGGTTTTGACTGATAGAAAGTGAATAAAAGCAACTTTGCGTAGAAGGTAAATGGGTATGTGTACTAGAGATAGTGAAAGAATGTCCACTTAGCTTACGGAGATGATGGGAATAAAATTGAAAAACTTGCACCTCCATAAAAGCACTATACTCTATGGAATGCTAGAAGGTTAAAGAGGCCTTAACTGCTAAGAGTTTATTGTTAACAGTAGTGATACTGCTTTAGAATATCCCGTTTAAACGTACAGGGTACGTATGTAATATGTTACTTTCCAAGCAGGTTTGTAAATGTATTACCACTTAGGGGCTCTCTGTGACTGGCACACCCGTGTTTCTGAAACAAGCAAGCCTTAAGCACTTTTGTTAAAATGTCCAATAGTCCTTTTACGTACATGTTCTCAATGCTGTTCTCTAGACATGAAAAGTGTTACAGGACAAGGTGCAAATTTAAAACAATTCCTGTGTTGAAATAAATAATTTAAACAGATGTACTGTTTGACTTGTTTTTTTATTCCCATCCTCAAATGATTATTTTTTAAGCGTGAAAGTTTCAGGAAAAATTCTAAAAAGGTGGAGGGGGGAGGCGGGGGGGTGAAATGCATTCAAACAAATCTCTCTGGTTGTTGTTGAATGAGATCAGCCATGTACGTAGTTTTAAAAACACAGTGATTTCTCTCTCCTTTCGTTTGTCTCCAAAAGAAATCAACCAATACGTGAGGATCAGTCTATCTGGTCACAAACCAGACGAGGAATGACGAAGGTCTGGCATTTCTGTCTGAGAGGAAGAGGGAGGGAGCTACATGGAGTTGGGTTATCCACTGGACAGTGGCACTGATAAAAACCGAACAATTGTTTCCAGGTGAAATATAAGACCTGCAACATTAACGAATCAATTGATTTGCACTAATCTTGTGTCTTTTCTAGAAACACAACCCAAAGGATGTTTCTCTACCAAGGACAGCAGAGTGTTGTCATCTTGAATATGTGTGGCATTTTATTAAAATTTATAATACATTGGGTCAGCCCAGGACATTTAGTTGTAGACAATATAATCCTCTTGAGGTGGCTCGAATTAAAAAGGCCCCATTGTAAAGCATCTGCAGTTTGCTCACGAACACATTGATAGGGAAGACAGAATAGATGCTCAGTGGAAATTCCAGCTGACTTTCCAATTTCTCACACCATGTCACAGCATTGGACTGCCACAGAAGCTGTCTCGGTTAGGACCAGGAAGATGCAGAATCAGGAGGGAACCACTGCACAGAATCACCGTATTCACTGGCCGGAGAAGTCACTCCAATAAAAATAACACTAGTATAGACTAGACTTATTATAGAGTTATTATACATAAGCATTTTATTGCTACAATGTTTGTTGTGGCAAAAACGAGCACACTCAATAAGAAATGACCAAGGGGCACCTGGGTGGCTCAGTTGGCTAAGTGTCTGACTTCTGCTCAGGTCACGATCTCACGGTTTGTGGGTTCAAGCCCCACACTGGGCTCTCTGCTGTCAGCGCAGAGCCTGCTCCTGGTTCTCTGTTCCCCTCTCTCTCTGCCCCTCCCCTGCTCATGCGTACACACTCTCTCTCAGAAATAAACATTAAAAAGGGGGGGGGGGGGCTGGGTGGCTCAGTCGGCTAAGCTTCCTACTTGACTGTTTCAGAGAGGAGTGCCTGATTCAGGCTGGACCGGTGAGTTGTATTAGGTGGAAATACCCCTGTATGATGTGGCTCTAAAAGCAAGTTAATATTTAAACCAATTGTCTCACAATCTAAAACCCACCCTACAAACTGCACTGTATAAAAGGGCAGACACTGAGTTTAAATCCCCAGCACCCTGCAGAATGCATGACATGAAGTAGGTGTTAAATAATTATTATTGAAATAATTACTTTTTTATGTATTTTATGGGATCTAAGCTCCACTAACCCCATGCAAGGTTTTTATTAATTAATGACATTCAAATTAGACATTTCTGTAAAGTCAGAAGAGGAATATATTATAAGGATACAAAGATACCCTAAAAACCAAGGGCAGAGATGCCACTTACGAACCGTACCAAGCCTGTACAGCACACCGGAGAGTTTTGTGTATTAATCCTCCATCTTCAGTCTCTAAGACAAATAATAGTGAAGTTTCCATTGCCTCTGCTTAAGAGATCACTTCAAATTGAAATCTTTTTTTCCTTAATGTTTATTTACTTAGAGAGAAGGATAGAGACAAGCAGGGGAGGGGCAGAGAGAGAGAGAGAGGGAGAGAGAATCCCAAGCAGGCTCTGCACTGTCAGCACAAAGCCCGATGCAGGCCTCAAACCCACAAACCGTGAGATCATGGCCTGAGCCGAAACCAAGCAGTCAGACGCTTAACCAGCTGAGCCACCCGGGTGCCCCTCCCCTGAATTCTCTTACAACACAACCCACTTCACACATCCATGATAGGCCTTTTGCACCGTCCCCACAGACTTGGGGGGTATATGTGTCTGTAGGGGCTGCCATAACAAAATATCACACTGAGTGGCTTAAACGAAGAATTTATTTTCTCACAGTTCTGGAAGCTGAAGTCCCAGATCAAGATGTCAACAGGTTTGGTTTCTCCTGTGGCTTCTCCCTTGGATTGCAGGTGACAGCCTTCTTACAGCACTGCCCCGTCACATGGTCTTTCTTCTGTGCCCAAGCATTCCTGGTATCTCTCTGTGTGCCCAAAGGACCCAGTTAGATTGGATTCAGGCCCATTGGATCGGCCTACTTTTACTTAATTATCTCTGTAAAGGCCCTGCCTCCAAATACACATTCTGAGGTAATGGAGCTTAGTGCTTCAACATATGAATTACGGAGAAACACAATTCTGCCCAGAACAGGGGACATGGAGGTCCAACACAAACCGACATGAAACTCTGACAATGACTAAACAAGTCCTTTGTCTCTGACCCAGGAGTCTTGTGTCTTTTGACAGCATCCATGAAACAGTAACAGGCTAACCTGTTAGTTTCTTTTTTTTTTTTTTTTAACCTGTTAGTTTCTAAGAGGCTAGAATCTCGGGCCCTGTACCGTTCTCAACACCCATATGTTAGGACCTGCCACAGTACTTCTTTGTCTTTCCCTCTTCACCAACGCACAGGAGTTTTAAAGTCAAAGTGTAATGTCTAAGACATAGTAGACATTGAATAAGTAGTTGAAATTTGATTTATGATATAAAGAATCTAGTCAAGGTATTGGTTGATCTGAAGAGAGATGCTTTTAAAGATACAGATTAAAATGAGAAAGAAAACAGGTTGGTATAGATTCAGTATTGCTAAATAAGAGTTTGGATACAATGACTTGTATGGCTTGATAATGTTCTCAAAAAATACTGGGTGTTACAAGTATTATGTAATACATTAGGATTATATGTGTGTGTGTGTGTGTGTGTGAGTACATATTAGATTGGGCCATATTTTACTATCCTCTCATATCAGCTAACACTCAGATTATTTCTCCAGAAAATTTTTTAAAGTCTGATTTTGGAAGAATGTGAATAAAATGTGTTCTACACAATTTTACAAAGTGATAGCTCTCATACAGCAATGCTTTCCATTTAAAGTACGCAGACAATTCCACAAATAAATTTATCAATGGAAGTGGTACTAAATACAATGCTATACTTTAGCTAGCCCTATAAATCACTGGATTTACTACCAGTTTCTGAACATCTTTCTAAAATACTAAGAACACTGTCTACAACCTCTGCGCAGTATTACTCATATCGGTCAAGAGAACTGGGAAGGATTGTGCCCGGGCAAAACGGGATCAGAGCAAGAATGCTGGGTAGACGAATCACCGCCAGATGAACCGAGGGTGCCTGGTTCTGGCCTTTCTGGATAGAGGTCCTGAGTCAAGAGGGTGTAGACTCCCTGTGTCCGTTCCACTATGGGCTCCCCCTGGCTCACCCGGCCTGAGCAGAGTGTTTATTTTCTTTGAATAGATTTGAACCATAAGCAGATAATTAACGAAAGTGGATCAAGTGAGAAGAAAAGGCAGCAAGTGGCTTCCAGCGCCTGGGGTCCTGCCAGCCTCTTCCCAGACCCACCTTCCAGCACCTGCGGGGCCAAGCCCATCCTGCCTCGTCAGCGCCAGGGGCCGGGCGCTCACCGGCCCAGGCTCAAGGCACGTCCTCCCCCCGACTTCTGTTACCCCGGTGCCCAGCTGCTCCCCGGGCGTCGGTCCCAAACCTAGTGGATGCTCAGAAAACACTTGCGGAGAGAAGTCAAGTGCAGCGGGAAGGAGATGGGGGAGGGGAGGGCGATCTCAGCGCCTGCAGAGGTGACGTGCGGAGCGGAGCACGCCCCTCGCCACTCGCTCCGAACGTCGAAAACCCGGTGAAATTGCTTGGCGGAAGGCGTCTCCGTAAACGACTGGGAAGTTCTTCGCCGCGGGGGCCCTTGCTCGCCCCCTCCCCCACCTGGCAATCACCTGGAAGGGTGGCTTCCTTCAAAACCGGCTGAGGAGCCCCGGCCGAGGGCGCGGCTCCCTCCGCTGACCCCGGGGCAGGGCGCACGGGCTCCCGGCCCGGGGCGGGCGGGGCGGCGGGAGGCCGCGCACAGGCCTGCCCCCGGGGCCCCGCCCCCCGCCCCGGCCCCTCCCCGACCCTCCCCCCGCCCCCCCTGTCCCCCGGGGCCCGGCCCCTCCCCGACCCTCCCCCCGCCCCCCGGGGCCCGGCCCCTCCCCGACCCTCCCCCCGCCCCCCCGTCCCCCGGGGCCCGGNTCAGATCCTAAAGTGACCCCAATAAAATTGCCTTGGTCTAGGGAACACAGAGGCAGAGATTCTGCCTACAACAATTCTGATTTCACGAAGCCTCTGCCTCCACGCCCCCAGGATGGGTGCTCACTTCCTCAAGGGCGGCTGTGTCCTTCGGGGCTCTTGAGCTGCAAGCAACAATAGACTATGGGATGGAGTAAAATGATCGGCAGGAACTCACAGAATCAAAGGAAAGACTAGAAGATCAGCACCGGACATGTCAGAAACCAAGGGAAAAGAAGATCCTGAATATCTTTTCCAGAACCAACAGTAAGTCTAGAGATCGAATCATGTTTTTCTATCTTCTCGTCGCCCTATTCCAAGATTCAAATTCAAGGAGTGCCTGGCTGGCTCAGTTGGTAGAACAGGCAACTCTTGACCTCAGGCTTGTGAGTTCAAGCACCGCCCTTCCCCCCCGCCCCCGGGGCCCCGCCCCCCCCGCTGCCCCGTCGCCCCTGCAGCCAGGCCCCTTCGACCCCTCCCCTCCCCGCAGCCCCCCCGCCCCCGGGGCGCGGCCCCTCCCGTCCCTCCCTCCCCGCCGCCCCGCCGCCCCTGCAGCCGGGCCCCTCCCCGCCGCCTCCGCCGCCGCTGAGCTGACCTCCGGGCCCGGCGACCATGCGCCGCCTCCCGCGGGCCGCGCTGCTGCCGCTGCAGCTCGCCCTGCTCGTGGCCGCCGGGGCCCCCGAGGCGCCGGTGAGCGCGGCGCGGAGCCTGGTGTGGGGGCCCGGGCTGCGGGCGGGCGTCGTCCTGCCCGCGCGCTATTTCTACCTGCAGGCCGTGAACTCGGAGGGCCTGAACCTCACTCGCTCGCCCCCAGGTAGCGTTGAGCCGCCCGCCGGCGCGGCGTCCTCCCCCTCCCCCCTCCCCGCGGGTGCGGCCGCCTCCGCTGCGCCCCCGCCTCCCCGGACGCTCGGCGGGGAGGGCGTCGCCGCCGCGTCCGCTGAGTGAGAGCGTGAGCGAACGAAGGCGGGCGGGCGCGGGCTCCCAGGGCCCTGACCGAGGCGAGGCGCGGGCCCTGCCGTTCCGGGCGCGGGCGCGCGGGGGCGCTCGGGAGGCCGCCCCGCTCTGACGCCGGGAGCGCCCCCGCGCGGTGCGTCCGCAGCGCCCGAAACCCTCGGGTCCCGCGGTCGGGGCCGGGTGGCTTGGGACCCCAGGTCCTGCCCCGGGACGCTGTGCGCGCGGGGCGTTCGCCTCTCACAGTTCGGAGCCGTCCCCAGCAGCTTGCGGGAATGGGTGGGACCTCGTCCGCAGGGTGGGCCTCGTCCCCAGGCCCCTCCCGCGTTCTCCTTCACGTCTGGCCTCTGCGGCGTCTCACGACCCGTCCTGGGGATTTCCGGGTGTTGCCAGTCAGGATTGGCTAATTTATGTCTCATTTCTGTTCAGCCAACTGGCGCCCTGTTTTGCCAACAGAGACCGAATAACCCGGCACCGCCTCCTGCTGGCGGGAAACCGCGACTGCTTGTGTTTAGAAAGACGTTCCACGGCCCTAAGGATCAGAATACAAAATTCTTTTCTTTCAGTGTTTTTTTTTTTTAATTTTTAAATGTTTATTTATTTTTGAGAGAGAGAGATAGAGGGCGAGCTGGGTAGGGGCAGAGAGAGAGGGAGACACAGACTCCGAAGCAGCTCCCGGCTCTGAGCTGTCAGCACAGAGCAGGTCATGGGGCTCAAACTCACTAACTGTGAGATCATGACCTGACCCCAAGTCTGATGCCTCACCAACTGAGCCACCCAGGCGCCCCTATTTATATTTATTTTTGAGAAAGAGCAGCAGAGAGACAGAGGATCCCAAGCAGGCCCCACACTGTCAGCACAGAGGTTGATTGGGGCTGGAACTCACAAATCGTGAGATTATGACCTGAATGGAAATCAAGAGTTTGTCTCCTAACAGACTGAGCCACCCAGGTGCCCCAGAATAAAAGATTCTTAAACCCAGATTCGAAGTCTTACACTATGGGTGTTAACTATAGAAATGTAGAAAACGATAACGTGTTCTTTATTTTCTAAAATTAATTTTATAATGTTATAATGGGGTGCTTTAGAAAGAAAAGGGAAAAGTGAAGAAAAATTAATTTATACAGGAAAAAAGAAAATTATATGATCCGAAATGACATACTGCTAATCTTACTGTTAATGAAAGAGCTATACATTCAAATAAAATTCTAATTTTTAATCTAAAAATATTGGCAAAGTCTTTTTTTAAGTGGTAATACTCAAAGCTGTTAAGAGCATCTGGAGACACTCAGACAGTGACCTTTGTGACCTTCAGGTGGCAGCCTAAATCGCTAAAAAGTTTCTGGAAAGCAAGTTTCCAAATGGACCAAGAGTCTTTAATCTTTACAAACTGAATGTGCAAAACATAAAGTTCGACAGTTAGAAAATACAATTTCTAAAAAGATGTCATTTGCAAACAGTGTCCATGCCCTTTAATCTGGTAACCTGAGGGGCACCTGGATGGCTCAGTCAGTTAGCTGGCCTATTTCAGCTCAGGTCGTGATCTCACGGTTTGTGGGTTCAAGCCCTGCGTCTGGCTCTGGGGCAATACCTCAAAGCCCGGAGCCTGCTTCAGATTCTGTGTCTCACTCTCTCTCTGCCCCAACCCTACTTGTGCTCCGTCTCTCTCTCAAAACTAAACATTAAAAAAAATCTAGTAATCTGATTTCTAGGAATCTATCCTGACAAAATGGTCCAAATGTGGTCAAAAGATTTATATACAAGACATTCTTGCCACATTATCATTACTGATGATAGCAAATTTAGCTAGGCAGACATCAAAAGAAAAGAGAAAGGACCCAAATAGATAAAATCATGAATGAAAGAGAAGAGACCAAAACCAACACCACAGAAATACAAATGATTATTAGAGAATACTATGAAAAATTATATGCCAACAAACTGGGCAATATGGAAGAAATGGACAAATTCCTAGAAACTCAAACTACCAAAATGGAAACAGGAAGACACAGAGAATTTGAACAGACCCGTAATCAGCAAAAATATTGAATCAGTAATCAAGAATCTCCCAACAAACAAGAGTCCTGGGCCAGATGGCCTCCCAAGCAAATTCTACCAGACATTTAAAGAAGAGTTAATGCCTATTCTTCTCAAGCTGTTCCAAAAAATAGAAATAGAAGGAAAACTTCCAAATTCATTCTACAAAGCCAGCATTACCTTGATTCCCAGGCCAAAGACCCCCCTAAAAAGGAGAATTACAGGCCAATATTCCTAAGGAACATGGATACAAAAATTCTCAAGAAGATATTAGCAAACCGAATTCAACAGTATATTAAAAGAAATATTCACCATGATCAAGTGGGATTTATTCCTGGGCTGCAGGGCTGGTTCAATATTCATAAATAAATCAACATGATACACCACATTAATCAAAGAATAAGAACGATATGACCCTGTCCATAGATGCAGAAAAAAACATTTGACAAAATACAGCATCTTTTCTTTTCTTTTAAAAAATTTTAATGTTTATTTCTGAGACAGAGAGAGAGAGAGAGAGAGAGACAGCTTGAGCAGGGGAGGGTCAGAGAGAGAGGGAGATACAGAATCTGAGGCAGGCTCCAGGCTCCGAGGTGGCAGTCAGCACAGAGCCCGATGTGGGGCTCGCGTCCACGAACCATGAGATCGTGACCTGAGCTGAAGTCAGACGCTCAACTGACTGAGCCAACCAGGTGCCCCCACCATCCGTTCTTGATAAAAACCCTCAACAAAGTAGGGACAGATAGAGCATACGTCAGCATCATAAAGGCCATGTACAAAAACCCACAGCTAATATCCTCAATGGGGAAAATGCTGAGAGCCTTTTCCCTATGGTCAGAACAAGACAAGGATGTCCACTCTCACCATTACTATTTAAAATAGTGCTGGAAGTCTTAGCCTTAGCAGTCAAACAAGAAAAAGAAAGAAATCATCCAATTTAACAAGAAAGAAGTCAAACGGTCACTATTTGCGGATGACATGGTACTCTGTGTAGAAAATTTGAAAGACTCCCTCAGGAAATTTCTAGAATACATGAATTTAGCAAAGTTCCCGAATATAAAATCAACATGCAGAAATCTGTTGCATTGCTATACACCAGTAACCAAGCAGCAGAGAAAGAAATCAAGGAATCAATCCCATTTTTAATTGCACGAAAAACAATAAGATACCTAGGGATAAACCTAACTAAAGAGGTAAGAGATCTAACTCTGGAAACTATAGATCACTTATGAAAGAAACTGAAGAGGACACAGAAATGGAAAAGCATTCCATGGTCAGGGATTGGAAGAGCAAACATTGTTAAAGTGTCTATATTACCCAAAGCAACCAACACATTTAATGCAATTGAAATACCAGTAGCATTTTTCATAGAGATAGAAACAATCCTAAAATTTATATGGAACCACAGAAGACCCTGAATAACCAAAAGTATCCTGAAAAAGAAAAGCAAAACTGGAGGCATCATGATTTCAGATTTCAAGCTATATTACAAAGGTGTAGTCGTCCAGACAGTATGGTACTGACACAAAAACAGACACATAGGTCAATGGAACAGAATAGAACACCCAGAAATGGACTCAAAACCAACCTTTGACAAAGGAAAAAAGAAAAAATGACAGTCTCTTCAGCAAATGGTGTTGGGAAAACTAGATGGTACATACAGCAGAATGTAACTGGACCACTTTCTTATACCATACACAAAAATAAATTCAAAATGAATGAAAGACCTAAATGTGAGACAAGAAACCATCAAACGTATAGAGGAGAACAGAGGCAGCAACCTCTTTGACCTTGGATATAGCCACCTCTCACTAGACAAGTCACCAGAGGTAAGGGAAACAAAAGCAAAAATGAACTAGTGGGACTTCATCAAGATAAAAAGCACAGTGAAGGAGATAATCAGCAAAACTAAAAGGCAGTCTACAGAATGGGAGAAGATATTTGCAAATGACATATCTGATAAAGGGTTAGTATCCAAAATCTAGAAAGGATTTAGCAAACTCAACACTCACTCCCAAATAATCAAGTGAAAAAATGGGCAGAAGATATGAATAGATACTTTAACAAAGAAGACATCCAGATGGCTAACAGACACATGAAAAGATGTCTGACATCGCTCATCATCAGGGAAATAAAAATCACGATGATCTGTATCAGCTCACACTGATCAGAATGACTAAAATTAACACAAGAAACAATAGGTGTTGTTGAGGATGCACAGAAAGGGGAACCCTCTTACACTGTTGGTGGGAATGCATACTTGTGCAGCCACTCTGGAAAACAGTATGGAGTTTCCTCAAAACACTGAAACTAGAACTACTTTATGATCCAGCAATTACTGTATTAAGTATTTATCCAAAGAATACAAAAATACAGATTCAAAGGGGGTACACTCACCCCAATGTTTATAGCTGCATTATCAACAATAGTCAAACTATGGGGAGAGCCCAAATGTCCATCAACTGACTAATGGATAAAGATGTGGTATGTGTGTATGTACGTGTGTGTGTGTGTGTGTGTGTGTGTGTGTATACATATAAAGGAATATTAGTCATTAAAAAGAATGAAATCTTGCCTTTTACAATGAATGTGGATGGAGCTAGAATGTAGTATGCTAAGCAAAATAAGTTAATGAGAGAAAAACAAATACCATATGATTTCGCTCATGTGGAATTTATGAAACAAAACAGATGAACATATAGGGTTGGGGTGGGAGAAAAGAGAGGGAAAAAAACCACAAGAGACTCCTAATGACAGAGAATAAACTGAGGGTTGCTGGGGGGAGGCAGGTGGAGATAGGCTATATGAGTGATGGGTACTAAGGAGGCACTTGTGATGAGCACTTACTGTTCTAAGTGATGAATCACTGATTTTACTCTTGAAACCAATATTATACTGTAAACTAAAATTTAAATAAAAAAATATATAATGTGAATAAAAATAGCAATAAAATGCTTTAAAAAAAAAAAAAAAGAGCACTCAACCAATTGAGCCACCCAGTAACCTTGAGGCAGTTTTCCTCTCCAGATGTAGACCTTCTTACCAAGGTCGCTTGGTAAGACTTACCAAGATTCCTTTAATAATTATCACTCCCATTTAACAGTGTCATACTTGTCTGAATATTGTTATTATGCTGTGTGCCTCCAGGTCCCTAGATAACAAACATGTGATCTTGAATGGTCTAAAGCAAAGGATTTCAAACTGGAATCCAAAGATAGAAATTAGAGGGTCTATGACCTTGAATAAAGGGGAAGGAGCTAATTTCATCTTTATTTTTCCTCCCTTCTGACTTAAGTCTTTCTCAGTATTTCCTTCTATTACAAACATAGGCAAAACCTGTTAACATTGTTACGTTGCCAGCATCTGATCTAATGCCTGGCAGAGATGCTCAGTAAGTACTGTAGAGAAAAGCAAGGAAACGGTGGGGGAGGTGGAACTTGTCTACACGGCTGGATACAAATCCTCACTTTCTACTCAGCCCTCCTTTACCTTCACCAGTAATAATATATCCAGAAAATAATCTTCCCTCCTACTTGGGTAGCATTAAAGTGTGCCCTGTTTAATTTGTTCTCCTTAATTGTCTTGTCAGATAAGAAGGATAGATACTATTCTCTCCAGTTTACACGTAAGAAGCTAGGGCTCCGTGAAGCTAAAATGTTTTGCTTGTGGCCCCATAGCCGTTAAGCATCAGAGCCAAGAGTACACATCATGTGTGCTCTTTCTGTCGAATCACATCTCCCATAATATGATTGTCGAGCATCAGTTTTCGGTCAGTTCCTGGAGAGCATCCATGGTCAACAGGCAGCCAGACATTTTTGGAGGATTACGTTTAGCCTCAAGACAAAACAACAGCTTGGCCTTCCGGCACTGTGTTCCCTCGGCCAGATGTGGTTGACATGCCAGCTGTTGAGCCTTCATAATCTTCCTAAACAATAGGGGAGGTCGTGACTCCATCGGACCAGGCGCTCGGGGGTTTATTCCTCCAAGTCTGAATTCTGCAGACTAATATGCTAACATACATAGTGTGACAAGGTGGATTTGGGACCGGCTTGGAAAGAAGGCGGATTCAGGCCATGGTCCAGTACTGCCTCTGCTACTCAACACAGGCGACCTTGGGCAGGTTACTTAACCTGTTGGAGTCTTGTTTTCCCGATCTGTAAAATGGGGCTGATGATATCCACCTTACGAGTTCTTGTAGGAAAGGAAATAAAGAAGGTAGAAAATGCAAGTGAAAATCTCCAGCTCAGGGACTGGCACATAATAAATGCTAAGTAAGTGATTTTAAGAAAAGTACTCCTTTCCAAATCAAAAGTCTTCAAAAGCTCTGGTTCTAGTGATGCAAGACTTTGATCATGAGAACTTTCTTTGGTTTCCATGGTCCCTGAAGCCTCACTTAATTCGGTCTCTCTCTTAAAGTTTGAATTTGACATAGGAAAATTCACACTGAGCTTGAAGTCTGTTCCAGTATGTTAGTGCCTGGGGCAAATGAGAATTCACATTCTTTCCACTGAAGCAATTTCAGAGTACCCTCTTCTCATTTCATTTCTCTCTCTCTCTCTCTCTCTCTTTTAATGTTTATTAACTTTTGAGAGAGAGAGAGAGAGAGAGCACAGCAGGGGAGGGGCAGGGGGGACATGGACAGAGACTGTGCTGACAGCACAGAGCCTGATGCAGGGCTTGAACTTGTGAACCGTGAGATCGTGACCTGAGCCAAAGATGGATGCTTAACTGACTGAGCCACCCAGGCGCCCCTCATTTTCTCTTTTATGAGGTTAAAATTGCTTACTTCTATTTCAGTTTTGGCCATTGTTATTTTGTGTTGATTCTAACACTAATGTCATGCCAACGATAACACAGCCATGTAAGATTACTATAAAAATAGCTGAACATTTAAAATATGTGTTTCCGATGGCTCTATTTTATCTATATACATATATATCTATTTTATCTATATACATATATATAGATAAATATTGAAATGGGATGTTTAAATGCCATTTCAGAGACAATTTTATAGCTGGAAGAGACAAGACAGTTTCTAGTCCAAATCTTTGAATTTAAAAATAATGAAGCAATTTGGAGCTGGATTTTTTTTTCTATAAATCCATTTTTTTCCACAAAGATCACACAGTCATTAATATGTTTCTCTTATATCTGTTTTGTTTATTTAAAATGATAAATTTATGGAGAACAGGATTCTTTGATCAAGAGACAAAACTTTTCTGCTTCCTATTTGGGGAGAAAATAATGAAATTACCTCCTAGTTTCTAGGCTCTGCCTGCCTGATTTTCAGTCTGCCACACTGCATTGTCTTTCTAAAACCAAGTGAGACGGCCACCTGAGTGGCTTAGTTGGTTGAGCCTCTGACTTTGGCTCAGGTCATGATCTCACAGTTTGTGAGTTCGAGCCCTGCATTGGGTTCTCTACTGGCAGCTCGGAGCCTGGAGCCTTCTTCAGATTCTGTTTCTCCCTCTCTCTCTCTCTCTCTGCCCCTCCTCTGCTCATGCTCTCTCTCTCTCGCTCAAAAATAAATTAACATTTTAAAAAAGTCATTTTAAAAAGTAAAAATAAAACCAGTGAGAAATAACACAAAAGCAATAACTAATGTGCTTCATTTCAGCATTTCAGGTAAATGGCTAACATTTTAAATAATTTCACATTAAATTCTTACCTTTTTTATTACAACATCCTCTATGTTTATTATAGTTCATTTATTTTGTCAGATTGCTTTCACAGACATTATTCTTGGGCTCAAGGACCTTTCAAACTAAAACTAAAACTGTTTTGTTTACAATTGATTGTACAGAAAAAGGTAACTTTGGTATAGAGACACCTATCCAATAATTGGGAAGACAAAATAACCATGAAATAGTGGAGTTACTTATATATATATTTTTCTTTCAGGTCAAACACCATTCAAGGTAGTAATCAAACCTCTTTCAGCTAAAGAGAGAGTCCGAGTTCATGTCCCCAAACCTTTGGACAGGAATGATGGGACATTTTTGGTCCGATACAGGATGTATGAAACGGTCAATGAAGGGCTGAAGATAGAGGTCCTTTATGGTGATGAACATGTGGCTCAGTCTCCCTATATTTTGAAAGGTAAGTGATTATTATACAGTCCAGAGCCAGCCTTATATGTGTAGACCCAATGCCTTTTAAAGTGGGTTATGAAGACCTTGAAGTCATGTACAACAGAGTAAACATGCATACCTCCTGAAGCTCAATTTAAGTAATTCCACGTCTAATTAGGGGCTTGAACTCATGACCCCAAGATCAAGAATCGCCTGTTCTAAGCCAGCCAGGAGCCCCGCCTGGGGCTCAATTTAACTTGGAATTTTGAGGGACAGAAAAGTAGGTAAAGAAATTTAAATAGCAAGCAACGAAATCTTGTGTATTCACCGAGGCAGTTAACATTTCCAACACTCTTAGTTCTTTGGCATATCTGTATTTCTATCTAGTACCATTCGCCTTTGGCTCAAGGATTCCCGTTAACATTTCTTTCAGTGTGAGAATGTTGGTGATGAGTTCTTTCAGCTTTTGTGTGTCTGAAAAAGTCTATATTTTGCCTTCATTTTTGAGAGGTTATCTTTGTTAAATATAGAGTTGTAGGTTAACAGGTTTTTTCTTCCGTTTAGTACTTTAAAGATGTCATTCCACTAGTTCTTGCCTACATTGTTTCCAACAATAAATCTGCTGACTTCCATCTCTGTTCCTCCGTCCTGCTGAATGAAGGTTTTCTCTCCAATGGCTGTTTCAAACAATTTGATTATTATGTGCTTTGGTGTAGTTTTCTTCATGTTTCCTGTGCTTGGATTTGCAGAGCTTCCTAGATCTTTGGGATTATAGATTTCATTGAATCCAGAAAGCTTTTGGCTGTGATAGCTCCAATATTTTTTCTGTTCTACTCCAGAATTCCTCCAAGGATTAGTTACCCCCTATATCAGGCTTGAAATTATCCCATAGCTCATTGATGCTCCTTTCATTTTTAAAGTTCTTTTTTCCCCTACATTTCTTATTCTCTGCTTTCCATTACTACATCATTAAGTTCACTAATCTTCTCTTCTGCAATGTCTAATGTGTCGTTAATTGTATCCAGTGTTTTGTTTTGTTTTTAATCTCTTGGCGCTTTCTCATCTTCTTGAGCTTTTTTTTTAGAATGCAGTTAAGTTACTTGGGAATAGTTTGAACCTTTCAAATTTTGCTTTTAAAACTCATTAGGCAAGACCAGAGCCAGGTTTGGCTATAACTATTATTCCCTAATCACTCAGCTAATATCTCTCTGCCTAGTCTACCCAAACCTCAGAAATAAGGATGCCTTCCAGTCTGAACAGGCACTGTTTCCAACCGTGTACAACCAGTGGGTAGTGTTGCCTCTAATCATTCTGGCTGGTTCTTTCCCTTCCTTGGATCCTTTCCTCACTTATATATATCCTTCAGGAACCCTAAATACTTGAGGGGAAACCACTTGCAGATCTCTGGAGTTTTCTTTCTGTATAGTTCTCTCCTTTCTGAGAGTATGCCCTACAAATTCTAGCTGCCTTGTTCTCCCTGGACACTCAGTTCTGTCCCCTCAACTCAGTGAGATTGCTGAGCTCTGCCTATTTTTCTCCCCCCGTTTCCATTACCCAGAAACTCCCTTAGGCAGTAGGCTTAGGAATTGTAGGGCTTACCTCGTCCCCTTCCTGTCTCTCAGACTCAGTGTCCTTCACTGCCTCATGTCCAGTGCATTAAAAATTGTTTCATATATTTTGCCTCTTTTTTTGGTAGTTTCAGGTAGAAGTGTGAGTTAGTGCATATTAGTCACCTTAGTCTGAAGTAGAAATCCTCAAGAAACACATATCATTTGCTTTTATGTTAAGTGAAATATATAGATATATTTTAAAGTAAAATATAAAATTTGTATAAAGTTCTTTTTAAAGTGAGTCCTCAGAGAAGTTTTATACTTATAGCTGGGTACTTTCAAATTACATTGCCAGGGGGCACCTGTGTGGCTCAGTGGGTTAAGCATCCAGCTCTGGATTTCGGCCCAGGTCATGATCTCATGATTTGTGAGTTTGAGCCTTGTGTCTCGCTCTGTACTAACAGTGCAGAGCCTGCTTGAAAATCTTTCTCTCTCTTCCCCTCCCCTGCTCATGCTCACTCTCTCCCCTTCAAATTAAAAAAATTTAAAAGAAGAAAACAAAAAAGAAAACTACACTGCCAGGTACCCCTGGGTTACATATTTCTTCTTTGAGATATGCTGATGGAAGTGATTTTAGGGACTCAGTGATTTCGAGATTGAGAGATTTTCATTCTTGTCTTTAAAAAAAAAAAATTACCGAGGCTCCTGGGTAGCTCAGTCAGTTAAGTGTTTGACTTTGGCTTAGGTCATGATCTCACGGTTCGTGGGTTCGAGCCCCGAGTCAGGCTCTGTGCTGACAGCCAGTTCAGAGCCTGGAGACTGTTTCAGATTCTGTATCTCCCTCTCTCTCTGACCCTCCCTTGCTCATGCTGCCTGTCTGTCTGTCTGTCTGTCTCTCTGTCTCAGAAATAAATAAAACATTAAAAATTTTTTTTAAAAAGAAGGCTTTAAAAAAAAAAATCACCATCCTTACTATATAATAATGCTAAAAAGGAACACATTCTTTTTCCTTGCTAAAAGGTAAGTTGTTTTACGTTCTCCAGGCATTTATAACTCCCCAGAACTGAATTTAGCAGCTAGTTGGCTGAGAGTGGGTTATATGGGGAGAGAGCATATGCTGTAGAGGTCACATAGAGTCATATAAGATGTTGGTGGGAAATGGAAGCACAGGACTCTGACAAACTTTCACCAGTGATTTGTTCAGGGCAGATTATCCCCATCTGGATAATGTTAGAATTCACCAAGAAATCATCCCATGTTCATATCAGGGGCAGAAACCACTCCCTGCGTTGTGCTTCTTAACGGAGCGTGGCATTATGCGTGTTTTGCCTTCCCTAGGACCAGTATACCACGAGTACTGTGAGTGTCCGGAAGAGGATCCTCAGGCCTGGCAAAAAACCCTTTCCTGTCCAACCAAGGAACCACAGATTGCAAAGGATTTCTCCTCTTTTCCCAGCGTCAATCTCGAGCAGATGCTGAATGAAATTCCAAAAAGGTTTGGGGATGAGAGGGGAGCCATCGTCCATTACACGATTCTCAATAACCGCATCTACCGGAGACCTTTAGGGAAATACACGGACTTCAAAATGTTCTCAGATGAGATTTTGCTGTCACTGGCAAGAAAGGTATGAGAATGAACTCACCGGTTTCAAAAACAATATGTAGTTGACCCTTAAACAACATGGATTTGAACTATGTGGGTCCACTTATACATGGATTTTTTTTTTAAACACAGTACAGTACTCTAAGTGTATTTTCTCCTCCTTATGACTTTCCTAATGACAGTTTATTGTCTCTAGCTTACTTTATTGGAAGAACACAGTATATAATATAACATACAGAATATGTGTTAACCAACTTAATAGCCAGTCAACAGTAGGCTATTAGTTGCTAAGTGTTGGGCGAGTCTAAAGTTATACACGAAATTTAGACTGTGTGGGGATTGGCATCTCTAACCCTTGCATTGTTGAAGGGTCAACTGTAGTTTAATTATTTAGTTGTAACGTTGCGATGCTTAGAACAGCAATGGCAAAGGATGGAACTGGCTTCCAGGCTTGGAAATGTGCGGCCAAGGTGTCCGCCACTTGACTGTTCATAAGTTCTCCCCTTTTATGCATCTTTCTTTCCTTTAATATTTAAATTAAATGGGTTGAGCCGCCCTCCCAGGTAAGTAGGCCCTACAGAAAACTCCCAAGGTTTCTGGGGACTCCCAGACATTTTTAGCCTCAAAGTCACTTCTTGTAGTTCCCTGTTTGTGGTGAATACCTCCTCCCATTCAGATTTCACTTTTTACAGCTCTTCTGTTTCTTATCGCCTCAAAATGACTTGAACTTAGATCACTTTTCCTTGTTTTACCCTAAGCACCTCTAAAAGATAGTATGCATGGCACGTTTTGTTGACAGTTCTAGTAATAGAGAGGTTATTTTGTACCAGTGCATAGTAAAAGTCAGCCGAACAAAACCCTTAACATTTAAAAACAGACCTCTCTGGGGGAGCTGGTGGCCTAGTTTGTTAAGAGTCAGTTAAGACTCTTGGTTTCAGCTCAGGTCATGATCTCATGGCTGGTGTGTTCGAGCCCCCTATCCGGCTCCGTGCTGACGGTGCAGAGCCTGCTTGGGATTCTCTCTCTCTCCCTCTCTCTCTGCCCCTCCCCAACTTGTGCTCACGTTCTCTCTCCTAAAATAAATAAATACACTTCAAACAAACAAAGAAAGAAGGAAATAAAAATAGACACTGTGTTAATCAGACATCGTCAACCTTTTTTCTGGGAATTTCTCACTGGCTGTCATTGAACTAAAGGTCTTGGCTCTTAGTGACTATGCTTGGGCCTCTATCTTTCTGAAGACTTCTCAACTCCCTCCGACTCCCCTCTACTCAACCCTTCTTCCCACATGGGCAAAACCCTTAAGCAGAGCAGTTCAAATTGCCTTTTATTCTTCCTCCTTCCTGACCATGTAGAGTGAAGGGCGAGGATGGGCATTTTTCTACCCTTCCCACCACCAAGGCTGTCAAGGTAGTTTTCTAAACCAGAAGCCATCTTTGGTGATAAGAGTTACACACTTTCCCAAGTGTGCTCAATGTGTGGCTGCAGTCACTTCCTATTTTAAACAGCAGGCTCCTCCCCGCTCCCACTCGCCCACAGTGTGAGCACATGGCAAGTTCCTGATCATGAAGGTGGTGCTTTCTTCCTGGCCTACTGCCCACCAGTCCACCCCGCCCTGTATCCCACTTCATACTCATGCTGCTGCCTCTAGAGCAGTGGTTTTTCCTAGTGATTAATTTGCCTCTTAGAGGACATTTGGCAAGGTCTCGAGACAGTTTTGGTTGCCACGACTTGGAGGTTGTGACTAGACCCTAGTGGGTGGAGAACACGGGTACCACTCAGCATCCTACAACGCACAGAGCTGCCCCCCAGGAAACAACTACCCAGACCGAAATGTCAGTACTGCTGAGACTGAGAAACCTGTCCTATAGTGAGAACTTCTGGTGTGTAGTTTTTGTTGTTGTTGCTCTGTGTTTTTTGTTTGTTTGTTTGTAGTGTTTTAGGGTTTATTTTATTTTATTATTGTGATTTTTTTTTTTGGTGTGGAGTTTATTAATGAGCTTATAAACAACAGTAGGGAAGCACCAGGGTGAGTGAGTAGTCCCATGCCTGTTCCCTCTTGTTCCGGGTTCTTTGCACAGTGGCTGGGAAGAAATCCAAAACAAATGAGACTCATCTCTGGACTCTGAGCGGCCTGCTCTGGTGGGACCTATTTTTGTTATTTGAAAGTTGGACTGGTATCTGGATACAAACAAATAGTTGTACCTCATTGTGGTAGCTTGTAAGAAAAGTAGGTGCCCGGGGTGAAAATGTCTGAAGCGGGTGAGTCATAGAGGAGGTAACATTAGGCCTGGGTTGGAAGGATGAGAAAGGAGTCCACCAAGTGAATAAGAAGGAAAAGAATATTCTAAGTGGGAAGGGAATTGCACAGGAGAGTGGCTGGCATTTTCAGAGAGCAGCCTGAAGTTGACCGGCACCTTCTCAGACGGAAGGTGAGGTTTACAGCTTAGCGGGAAGAAGATAACAGGCCTGTGTCTAGCCAAAGAGTTTACATCTTGTCCTGTGGGCTTAAGGTTCTCTTAAGCTTGTAGTACCTTAATTTGGGTTTTAGACATCTAGGCAACAAGGTGAGAGCCGATCAGAGTGGGGAGAGCCTTGTATCAGAACACCTGGTGAGGACGCTACTGCACCAATCTAGGCAAGAGATGGGAAGAGCCTAAACCAAGGCATTGGCTGCGGAGATGGCCACGGAGTAGCAGTTTCCAGAAACAAAGGTAGACGTGCCGGGGGAGTTTGAGACTGAAGGAAAACAAGGGCTGGAGTCTAACCTTGTTGATTCTTTATCAGGCAGCTGACAGAAAGAGTTCTTGAAGCCCCTGATTCATAGCGTTCTATACCATGTCCACTGCTGTAATAGTAAGCAATTTTGAGAATTTATCTATATTTTTGTTAAGTAATGTCTTTGCCCAACATGGGGCTCAAACTCACGACCCCAAGATCAAGAGTCACACGCTCCACCAACTGAGCCAGCCAGGTGTCCTGACAGCAAGCAATTTGAAACGCCCCCTCTGAACAGAAGCAGCTTACTCCTGGTTGCATGAATTTGCCATCGACCATCCTCCCCCTTGCTTTTCTGATACTGCTGTCAACTGAGAGGCATCCTTCTCTCCTCTGCTGTTTTCAAATGTTCACTTTTATTAGACATGTTTTAAAAAGCCAAAGGGCAGAAGTATTTAGAACCCCAAACTGAGGTCTTTGCAGAACTGATATTTCTTCTTTTGTTTATTTAGGTCCTTCTCCCCGATGTAGAATTTTATATTAACCTTGGAGACTGGCCTCTGGAGCATCGAAAAGTCAATGAAACCCCTGGCCCTTTACCTATCATTTCATGGTGCGGCTCCCTGGATTCACGAGATATTATCCTTCCAACATACGACATCACCCACTCCACACTGGAGGCCATGAGGGGCGTCACAAACGATCTCCTCTCTATTCAGGGAAATACAGGTAAACTGAAGTTTGTTCTCAAAGAAAAACAGAGATAAAAGGCAGTGTTCAACCAGAGAGAATAAAGGTATGCTGAAATAACCATTGTCCTTATTTTCTAACCAAGAAAAAAAGGGCGGCGTAGGATTCCTCTAATCCAAAAATTAGGCCTGTGGGTTGGACTAGTAAAATCTAGACCTACCATAACTGGGTCTCCTTTGAGATGGTCATTTGTAAATAGCATTTAAAAAAATATATTTGGTAAAATTGTCACTTACTTCTGACTCCAGTGCCTTTATATTGCTGGATGGAGTCAGAGAACATTTTGAAAAATATAAAATTATATGTGAATGTAAGAGAATTGTGATAGCAGTATCATTTGGGTATTACTACCACTAGCATGTGGTGAGGAGTTTTCTCATTTCCTCCTTCTGCCTTGTTTGATCCTTTAAAACCTGTTCCTTCTGCCCCTCCCCCACCACCATTGATGGCCTTACATTTTATGGCACAATTTTTTATTAAACCAGACTCCCCGAATAAAATAAACCCTGCCTAACCCTGCCTGTCTTTACAAACTCTGTTCACGTGTATTGTGATTTGGTGGACTTATTTAGCAGATGCGACCAGAGGCTTTTTGCAAACTACCTAAAGACAACATGGGACGAAAACTGACTTTTTATTTGATAACAATGAATTCTTGAGAAGTGTACTAAAATATTAGAGAGTGACCCTCCCCAGTTTCTACATTTTACGATTTATCCCTTAGAAGAGTAACAGGTGTTAACTAATGACTTCTCTTTAGAATAATAGAAATAGATTTAAGTTAACTCTTAGAATATTTCCCTCTCAGGAAAAAAACACGCACACACAAACACACACGCACGCACGCACGTGCAGATTTACACACACATATATAGTTGAGTCATATATATATATTTTCATTTCAGAGCATATTAGACAATCTTCCTGTATTCAAAAGTGTTGTGCTCAAAATTTCTGAGCAACCTATGGATTAAAGATGTGGGTTACCTAGTTCTATAGTTTGTTCTGGTTACCCAGTCTAAGAACAAAAGCCTAGCTCATTTTTTATTCTGAAGCACAAAGGATGGAAGAAGCTAATGCCTGCCTGGGTGAGTGGCCAAGTTGCTGAATGTTTTTGGCTTTGAACTTGATCCAACGTTATTTTGGATATCTCCCACTATCATACGAGAGACACTCCAGTATTTGAGTGAGCTGTCACAGGTGGACAAATTGGAGAAATTAGAGCATTCTTTTATGTGATACAGCAGATACAAGGGCTGTTTTTGATCATCTAAACTGGAAAGTATCTCAAGAAGATACTCAATCCCATATTTTTTGCAAATAGCAGCTTATCTTAGAAGATGAGTTGATGATAAAAGAGCTTTAACATCTTAAATGACAATGGTAAATTAAAGATGATTATGCTTACCATTTTTATAAATGTCAAATTCATAATCGTATTTTTTTATGGCTTCAAACCTCTAGGGCCTTCCTGGATCAATAAAACAGAGAAAGCTTTCTTCAGAGGTAGAGATAGCCGAGAAGAGAGGCTCCAGTTGGTACAGATGTCCAAGGAAAACCCAGAGCTCCTAGATGCAGGAATTACAGGATATTTCTTTTTCCAAGAGAAAGAAAAGGAGCTTGGAAAAGCTAAATTGATAGGTTTCTTTGATTTCTTTAAGGTATGCATTTATGTCTTCCTGTATGGATATGAAGCGATGAACTTGTACTGAAAGTCTACCCAATCACCGGGTGGCAGATGTGTCCGGTCCTGTGAGCTGGCACACCCACACTTTCTCCCTTCCAAGCATTAGGAACTACGGCATTCATTGTGGTTTCCTTTCTGTTATTTTTGTTTTTGTTAGTTTTATCTACCCAATGGCCAGAACTGTATTTAGTACTCAAAGTAGAATACAAGGATTAACCTGGGGTTTTGAGTGCATTATTTATCTGTTTTTCTCTTTTTTAGATGTGTTTCATAAACTAGGAATATAAATAGCTTTTACATAAAGTGATCTTGTTGTAAACAGAAAGAGTATAAATTCCATATAAGTAAAATAGCAGCTGGGATTATGGTCCGCATCCTGCCTGTCACTCACTGGGGGACCTTCATCTCTCAGCGCCCCTAAACATGCGAGGTGCCTGCCTCGCTCCCTCAGAGCACTGTCAGGAGGTTCAAAGGATAGAGATGCAAACAGTATGGCACAATCTGACTGGCTAGAAAACTCTTTGGTTCCAATTACTTAAGAAAAAATTAATTACCAAATCTGTGAGTACATCCTGTTCATTTCAGTGTGACAGAATGAAAAGAACATTGGATTTGAACTCAGAGAATAGAGGTTTATAAATTTATCTGAACACCAGTTTTCTCATTTGTAAAAAAAGGGGGAGTGAAGAGAGGTAATGATAATATGTGCTTCATATTATTATGATAAGTGAGGTTTAATTCCCATGAAAAGTGATTTTGAATTGTAAATCAAGGCTTATTAATCCAGCAAATATGTAAACAGAGTACACATTGTGTCGCTAGCCATCACTCTAGTCTATGAACTTCTCCAAGTTTCTGTGCTCAGCTCTAAGACTGAGCTTTCTAGAGGTAACGCTTTCCTTTTTCATACTTATGTAGTATAAGGAACAAGTGAAATAATAAACATGAAAGTGCAAATTGTTACCAGTAGTCATCTTTAATAAACCTAGAACTTAAAAAAAAATTTTTTTTAATGTTTATTTATTTTTGAGAGAGAGGTAGAGTGCGAGCGAGAGAGGGAGACACAGAACTGGAAGCAGGTTTGAGGCTCTGAGCTGTCAGCACAGAGCCTGATCTGGGGCTCTGTCTCAGGAGCCATGAGATCATGACCCGAGCTGATGTCCGACACTTAACCAACTGAGCCACCCAGGTGCCCCAAACATAGAACTTTTGAAACATTTCTCTCCCTGGTCACAGAAATCTGAATCCCCATTACATAGAGTTGAAAAAGGTATCCCTGGTTCCTAAGTTGTTTCTTAAAACTATTGACCATCTTATCCTTAAATGCATTATTTCTTTTTTGTTATGATTTTTTAAAGTTTATCTATTTTGAGGGAAAAAGAGTGAGTGGGTGAGTGACAGAGAGAGGGAAAGAGAAAATCCCAAGCAGGCTCTGTGCTACCAGTGCAGAGCCCAACATGGGGCTCAAACTCGTGAACCGTGAGTTCATGACCTGAGCCAAGATTGAGAGTCTGACACTTAACTGACTCAGCCACCCGGATGTCCCATTGCATTGTGTTTCTTAAAATCGATATGCTAAAGGGTGCTTATGATTTTAATACAAAGAGAAAATGTGAATTACAAAATGAAGTCTAAGACTTTTAAACAATGAAATTGGAACATGAAAAAGAATTCCTTTTTATTTAGTATTAAGGTGTTGATGACAATCAGAATGAAGCAAATGGCTGTTAAATTTCTTCTTTGTTTATGTTTGTTTTAATCTTTCAGTACAAGTATCAAGTGAATGTTGATGGGACCGTGGCTGCGTATAGATATCCGTACCTCATGCTGGGCGACAGTTTGGTTCTGAAGCAGGACTCAACATATTATGAACATTTCTATATGGCTCTTAAACCTTGGAAACATTATGTCCCATTTAAAAGAAATCTTAGTGATTTACTAGAGAAAATTAAGTGGGCCAAGGTATGCTTTCTGCGATTTTAATTTCTTGAGGCGATAATAAACTTACCAGTATTATTTACATGAGTTCTATCATGACGCAACTTAACTTGACATAATTTAGTCAAAGAAATGTTATTTTCTGAAACTTTTGTTCCCTTGAAATAGCTGGAGAATCAACATTAAGATCATTTTAGTACCCTTTATCAACATTTTTCAGAATTTTTAGAAGAGTTGAAATCCAGTGTTATATAGAATTATATTTTATATATATTATATAGATGATCACAGTTATATAGAATATAGATTTTTCTGAAGGCATCATGCATATGCACACAAACAAAAACACAGTAAATGCAAATCACAGGTTGAAAATCCCAGGGTGAGAGTGTTTTGTGCACAAGAAGATATTGAAGGCAATTACGATGCTCTTTTCTTTTACCCAGTTAGAAAAAGGCACAATAGTTGCATGCTATGCAGCGTCCCAAGAATTACAAGTTTTCCATAAAGTATGATTTTTGTCATATTTTTTAAAGAAAAAGTATTAAAAATTTGTTATGTTTTATTATGAAGCTCTCGAAATATACCCTGCCATTATAAGACTTCATTCTGTTTCTAAGTTCTGAGAAACAGTGTTTGGTTATGAAGATAACTGGGTGCCGAGGCAGAATCATTTTTGTGACCTTTCATAAAAAGTAAGGGTTGCTTGCCAATGACTTTTACCCTGGGCAGCAGAGTAGAATATTAGCAATTTTCCAAAAGTATAACTAGGAGCGCTGACTGGACCCGGGACTGAAGGAACAGCCTGTGGGGACTAATGACTGAATTTACTATTACAGCAGTAAGATAGGCTTTCACAGGCAGTGATCGGTTAGACTTTGGGCTCTGGCTGCAGATTAAAATGGAGCTCTTAAGAGATGTTAGAACATGAAAAGTGATTCATTCCACTCCAGGTTGCATTTTAATATCAAGCAGAGAGGCTAGGATGTGGGAACTGAGGATGAGCCCGAAATGTCCTGGGGAGTCAGGACGGCACCGGAGTCACAAGAGAGGTTGCATGTTGGGTGCGTGTATGGGGAGCGTTGGCGGGGGGCTTGGGGGGGAGCTTCTGGGCCGTGGAACAGGGTCCAGACATGTATGACCGTTGCTGTGTAACAGGGATGTCTAGCAAAGCCCTTCGTCTATTTTTCAGAGCCCCCGTCTGAGGCTGTTTTCGTCCTGTCCGTGTCTCCCATGCTGTTCACATTCAACCCGACACCGACCCGGCTTCACACTCAGGGGTGGCTAGGCCTACAGGAAGTACTTTTCATTTACTGTGTGTGTTCTTTTCCAAACCTTTCAGGAGAATGACGAAGAAGCCGAGAAGATTGCAAAGGAAGGGCAGCGGAGCGCCAGGGACGCCCTGCAGCCACACCGGCTTTACTGCTACTATTACAAGGTGCTCCAGGTACGTGCGCGGCCCTCCTGCTGGGGGGCGAGCATCCCCGGACCCCAGGCCGCGCCTGGGCCCCAGGCTTCTTCAGAGGGTTAGGGAGTCAGCCCGTGGAACTCCGGCCAGGCCGAGCACCAGCCCACGGAAAGATCGGAACGGTGCTCAGTCTTTTTGTGGCCCCTGTATTTTTATCTCCACTCAATACTATGAAAAAAAGCGCACCGAGCCCTGACAGGTAGAGATGGAAAGCTCCCCCGGCCTCGGCAGTGCTATCTTTTATTAAATGCCTTATGGAATTCCTACTTCAGATATTTTCTGAACCTCAGAGAACATCTTTCCTCATCTAGACAGTAAAGGGGTTGGACTAGAGATCATGAACATCTCAACGCGTCTGCCTCTTTGTTCTTACTACTTAAGATTCAGGCTTTTGCTATCATGCTATAGGATGGAAAGCAAATATTTTGCTTGCTATAGAAAACAAATGAAATAATTTATTAAAATTATTTTAATGTTTTGTTTATTTTTGAGAGGGAGAGACAGAGCGTGAGTGGGGGAGGGACAGAGACAGAGAGGCAGACACAGAATCTTGAAGCAGGCTCCATGCTCTGAGCTGTCAGCACAGAGCCCATCGTGGGCTCAAACCCGCAAACTGTGAGATCATGAACCGAGCCAAAGTCAGACCCTTGACAGACTGAGCCACCCAGGCGCTCCAAAATGAAATATATTTTTAATGGCTCTAACACTGTAGGCCTAAAATATGGAAATGCAAGGGTTGGTTCCTTGAGTAACTGTCTTGTGTTTTTACGCAGTCAAATCTCACCAGGAAGGAAAAAAAAAAAAGAAAGAATGCTTTTGTTTTTAACCTAAACTTATTTTTCTGCAGGCAGAAAGAAAGTACATTTCTTCAGATGCCTGGGGATATCACTCTCTCATAGAAAAATAAAAATGAAGAATTACACTATTTACTAAAAGCAGCCTTTCCCTTAACTGACTTGTGTGCCCTCTGCTGGTCTGCCTGTAACTTAAACAGTAGGATTTTTCTCCCCCTAAATTATCTAGGTTCCTGTACTCGTTTCAGTATTTTGTTGGGTTGGGCCCCCAGCCAGGAATGTGCGGCCGAATGTATATGGAACCGCTGTACTGGAAGTCTAATTTATAGGAATATTTCAGTCAGTGGCCCACATAGAGGGACACTGCACAGGGCTGTAGCCATTTACACAACATACGTGGCCATGAGCCTAAAGGGGAGGGTGTGTGGGAACGCCAACTGTATTTTGAAATGCATATCATCTTTGTTGATTTGAGTGTTCAACAAATTTAATTATTCATTCATCAGTGGAGGATAAATGCCAAGAGGTGCTGTTACTCCAAGCAGGGGAGCCTGGCTTGACCTCCTTTTGTGGAGGCTTCCTGCGCCCACAGAAAATTGTAGATTGGGGTTCCTTGATAGATTATGAAATATTGTACTTAGTCCCTGTCACAACTAAAGCTGGGACTGAAGAAAACCAGACCTTTGGTTGTAGTCTCAAGACACACAGCCACCAGGGCCGCCTGGGTGGCTCAGTCCGTTAAGCGTCAGACTTTGGCTCAGGTCATGATCTCACCGTTTGTGAGTTTGAGCCCCTCATCAGGCTCTGTGCTGACAGCTCAGAACTCAGAGCCTGGAGTCGCGTTTGGATTCTGTGTCTCCCTCTCTCTGCCCCTCCCCTGCTTGTGCTCTGTGTCTCAAACAGGAATAAATGTTAAAAAAAATTTTTTTGAAGACACACAGCCACTAGAAAGGATGACATGAGTGGGGTAGGGAGGGAGGGTCCAGTGGAATGAAGCGAGGACTAATCTTTCAGTTGCCTTCACACCCGCATTCCAGGAATATGCTGAGCGCCAGTCCAGCAAACCCGAAATACGTGATGGAATGGAACTTGTTGCTCAGCCAGATGATAACACGTCCGTGTGTCAGTGCCACCGGGAAGGACCTTCCAGAGAAGAGCTGTAAGTCAGCTCACATTCACACCCCTGTGTGTGTGGCCGACGCGTAGCCTACAAGCATTCAAATCATTCAGGTAGAGGCCACCCTGCGTTGAGCGCAGTTCAGGAGACTTACCTGCATGGATAGAGCAGTAGAAAAGGGAGTATTACAAGTGTCTTTGAATGTTATTTTTTTGTGTAAAAACTACTATTATCGGCATCACAGTTTATTTTTTAAAAAGAAAACGTGAGTCATAGTAGATAGGCTTGCCAAAATATAAGTCCCTCTGTAGGAAACTATTGGCACCATATTGGTTTGTTTCTGTCCCTTGTTCACTTTCCCTCCTCCTCTTCCAGTTATGAAGAAGAAATACTTGTGCCGGGTCCTTCCCCTCTCACTGCATAATTTCTTCTCCTGCAGGCTGCTGGTGGCATTCAGTAATGGCAAGCCTCCTCTTGGAAGGTCTGATAAGAACAATTAAGGAAGGAGAGGAGGGCTGTCTTATTAAAAGTAGCTTGGAGACTAGGGAGGCAATATTTTTTAAAGCTCACTCCTGTCTTCTTAGCTAAGTTTTACTGAAGCCTGGGACAAAATCAAGGAGAAATTGTGTTGTAAGCTAGTAATTTCCAATCTACCTGGGTGGGACACCCATCAAGGACAACACAGTTATTAAAGTACCTGAGAACATCCTATGGGAACCATTTATTATCTATCTATTGACTAGAGGGAAGATAACAATAGCCAGTTGGGGATCTTTACCACTTGTTTTGGTCTGTAAAGGGATACTTCAAACCATTTGCCAGAAGCAGCAGTAGTCAGCCTGGTGTCTTGGGAATTCACTAATAAGCTGACAAGAAAGGCGAACATCCTGACTGCATCCTTCTTGATTCAGTGGGTTTTGCACTGCGGAGAGGAAAACTTTGGAATTTCCTTCTCCTTTTTTGGACACGGTCAAGACTTAAGACTCACCGCCCAGAACTTTATTACACACACTTTTTGTAAAATCAGCCATCCAAGAGTCATGTCACTCATGAGCACGTTCCCAAAGCAAGAGCTATCTACCCTCCCAATCTAAAATTATTGACTCCTCTAATTGAAATACTTAATTTGGAAAGCACTGTAATGTAACCACTTTAAAGTAGTCATATCCTCTTTTGAAGGTCAATAAGAGCACAGAATTGTGTAACTATGCAAAAGCAAAACCGTATTTAAGAACAGTGTAATCAAGGGCTCCTGGGTGGCTCAGTTGGTTAAGTGTCTGACTTCAGCTCAGGTCATGATCTCACGGTTCGTGGCTTCGAGCCCCCCGTCGGGCTCTGTGCTAACAGCTAGCTCAGAGCCTGGAGCCTGCTTCAGAGTCTGTGTCTCTCTCTCTCTGACCCTCCCCTGCTCACACTGTCTCTCTCTCTCTCTCAGAAATAAATAAAAAATGTTAAAAAAAAAAAAAAAAAAAGAACAGTGTAATAATCAAAGCCACGTATCCAAGGAAAACTAATACCCACCAGTTGTTCAAAAGTACAAGGTCACAAGCATAAAATAAAGGGCAAGCTGTACTGGGACCATACCCTAATGAATCATGTCGTCTATATCTTGTACACGGAGTTTGGGGCTTGTCAAAGCTGAGAATATGGAAAGAAAATTTGCCCTCCCTCATACCTCCCTGCCCACCAACCCCTGCTCCTTCCTTATGGCTGATGGCATTTTGTTAGAAACGTCTTAAATTTTTAAAATGTCTATCACCTGCTGCCAAACAAGACTGACAGTGAAAAGTGAACTGGGATACATCAGGCAGCCGCTGAGCATGGAGCAGACAGGATGTGTTTAAGAATTGAGTGGAGCCCTCAAAAAATTCCATAAGGAGTGAGCAGTCCTAATCTAGATACTCCTCTATCCCCTCAACTCAGTCATAGTCTTAAAAAGAGTTAGTTTAAATGGTTTTCTAGTTTGTTGACATGAATATAACTTAATAAAATAGTCTTTTTCCCTTTGAATTCACACACATCACCCACATATTCCATTAGTCATTTTTAATACTCCAACTTTCATTTTGAAAATCTGATTTTTCAAAGGAGGAGAGGACTGTAAGGATGTGCAAGTAAATGTAATAAACCAGCAGCCAGGGTAGTTGTTGCAGTGTTGTTTTTATCAGTAAAATGTTGCAAACTCCTTGAATAGCCTTCATGAGGGAACTGGCCAAATAGATAATGACATATAAAGAAATATAATACAATGATTAGAAAGAATGAAGTAGTTCTAAACATACTATCATGAAAAATTTCCATTACAGTGTTCAGTGGAAAAAGTACGTTACAGAACAGCACCTATAATGTGAAACCATGAATGTAAAAAACAAAAATACACTTGTATGGTTGAAAGTTTGGAAGGATTTTATTTACCAATATCTGAGGAGGAGATGGAGAGAAGGGAATTTTTACTTTTTGCTGTATACCTATGATATTTGTTTTTACTGCAAGTATGAATCAGACTGTAAACTAAAGAGAAATGTAAACCTAAAGACTTTAAGTGCACTAAAGATATATATAAGGAAAGAAAATGGATATTTATATTTTCCATTATGCTGTTTTTAAATCTACTATGTGTCTAGAATTTTATATTATGGGACATATTTTACACACTTTTAAATAAAGTAAATTTTCTATATAATACTTTGAAAAAGAAAACTCGTGTTTTTAAGAAAGAGGGACACCTGGGTGGCTCAGTCAATTAAGCGACCGACTTCGGCAGGGGTCATCAGTTAGAGCCCTGCCTTGGACACTATGCTGACAGTTCAGAGCCTACAGCCTGTTTCAGATTCTGTGCTCCCTCTCTCTCTGCCCCTACCCAGCTCGCACTCTCTCTCTCTCTCTCTCTGTCTCTCAAAAATAAATAAACATTAAAAAAAAAAAAAAAAGAAAGATTGTAACAACCTATAGCCCTGGTATTTCTGCGACTGAGTTGGTCTAATTATAATTTTATTATGTCTTCATAAGTGAATGAATCCAAATTTTTATCACCACCTCAGTCCCTAGTGGGATTTCCCTAATTAGAGGGAAAGAAATTTGGGCTTGACACCATTCTCTTTCGAATTTCAGGTTAAAATACAAGAAGGGCAATGTCTTAGCCAGTTCACATCGCCATTACACTGCATGGCTGTAACTATGCATGGTGACAGATGTTAACTAGATTCACTGTAGTGATCACTTAGCAATATATACACGTATGAAATCATGATGTTGTACACCTGAAACTAATGGTATATGTCGATTATACCTCAATTAAAAAAATAATAAAACTGGTTTGGGATTTACCCGCTAAAGAGCTTACATTTAGAAATCGCATTAGACTACAATCACCTGTCACGTAGTCTTTGAGCCTGAGCGAGAGATGCTAAATCGCTAGAAGGATCAGTTTTCTTATTTACAAATGAATAAATTACTTACATATGAAAGGTTTTATGTATTTCTCCCACACGCGTTAATGACCAGGCTTTATAAATAAGTTTAGCCCCAGTTCGCAGAAATGCACTTTGATTTCCCTTTCAAAATGCTTTGCCTCAAAGCCTTTTAACAATCGCAGCGAGGACTAGCCTCACATTTTTTTCTTTTTGGATCCGCGGGAGACGGAGAGGTCGGGGAGGAGGCAAGCGCGAGGCTGAGGGGCGGGGCCTGGGCCGAGGGGGCGGGGTCTGGGCCGGGGGCGGGGCCTCGAAGCGGGCCGGGGCGGGACCGAGGGGCATACTGGGGCGGGGCCTCGAAGAGAGCCAGAACGGAAGTAGAGGTGCGTAACTTCCCTCTGCAGCGTTAACGAGGCGTCCTCCGGAGCGCGGTACCTCGGCGATAGACAGGTGAAGGGAAGGGTGTACCTCCCGTGTCCGCCGGTATCGTAGCCCATAGCTGTGGCCCCTGTTCTGAGACCACCCTTGCCCGGCGCCCTGGCGTTCCCCCCCTCCCGCCCTTGAGCTCCGCGCCCCAGCCGACCCCCTCGAAAACGTGTGGTCTCCCTGAAGCCCTCCAGCCTCCGGTTTCCAAGGCTGCCTGCGGTTGAACCCTGCGCCCCGCGTCCTCGGCTCGGCTTCGGGGAGCTCGCGCGGCCCTGGCTGGCGCGCCCCCTGCTCAGCCGGAAGCCTTGCGGGTCCCCGCTGCTCGCACCTCCGCGGAGACGCGGTCTCGTCCCCCAGGGGCCGGGGGCGAAACCCTTGTTAGGCCGCGTCGCCTGTGTTCCGTTCCACGCGTGAAATGGCTTCGTCACGCAGAGATGGAAAAGCGTTTGTGAGGAATTGTCTGCCCTCCTCCGCCCTCGGCGGAAAGCACAGGAGAAAAGGAAGAGCGAGATTCCAAAACAGATAAAGGTCTTGAAACCTTGGCTTAGTCTCTAAAACAAAAGAGGTAGTGTAGGTTCCGATCCCGGCAAATTCACCTTAGTGCCCTTTCCCAGCCTTTAAAGTGGCTGAAACCGAGAATTCAGAGGTTTATCTTGTAAGCTTTTTCTCATGAAAGTGAAAGATCAGTGGAGCCATTATCGATTATGATAAAAATTGTCACCGAGTCCGTATTGACAGACATCTTCCGTTTCTGAATCTGTAATTAGAACCTGGTGTAGTAAATTCCTTCATTACTTGAGCAGTGGTTTGATAATACTTTAAGTATCTTACAGTGGATGCAGTGTTTTCACATTGGTTCATCTATTTGGAACCTCATAATAACCCTACGAAAGCCGAATCGCTTTTTATCTAAGGCCCCCAGTTATCCCTACCCTCTTTCTTGTTTCTTAAACTTCCTCAAAAGACTTTGTGCTACCCTTCAATTTATCTCTCTCTTGCACCTATAATTTCTCCCTCACTATGGGATCATACCTAATAGTGTGCTTTAATGTCTGTCCTATTAAAAAAAAAAAAAAAACCACACCCTTGGAATCCAGTCCTGCCCACCAGCTGTCGCCCTGTATCTGCTCCTTGACGGAATTCTAAGCAGTTGTTACTGTACTTGCTGTCAGGACTTGGGGCTTCCTCCATCCTTCCCCGGCCTTCTTTGTTGCTATTCAGCTGAAAACAGGACTTCTCAAGGTTCCCAGCGGCTTTATCGGCCAAATCTAGTTCTTTATTCTGAATTTACTTGACCATCCGGCAGTGTTTGATGCAGTTGAGTACATTCCCTTTCTTGAAATATGTGGGAGATCGTCACCACTCCCTGGTGTGACTGGTTTCTGAATCACGTTAATTACAAATATCGGAAGATACTATTACCTGGAGAGACACAGAGACCAACCGAAACCACTGAAGGCGAATTCAGGGAGTCTGTTACCGGCCGGGGCCGCACAGAGTTGACCGAGAACTCTTAACCGTGCGGCCTTACACCCACGAACTTAGGGCTTTTTTATGATGCGGAAGCAGGCAAGCTGAAAGTACAGAAGCACAGTAGAGCCGTTACTGCAAAAAGGCTACAAAGTGATAAAGAGAGCAGCCCTTATCCTGGTGTGTAGGAAAACATTTGTTATTTTGAAGGCAAGGTTTAGGGTTATAGGGGAATTTCAAGGGAATAGCCATTATCTCAAGGACAAAATATGCAAACTGTGCCAAACAACCACTAGCAGGGGACCTTAGCCCTTGACCTCTTATTTTTTTCCCCTCCCCTCGAGCGTAGTCACGTAGCCCTCCGAGCGCAGGCCCAGAAGGTAAACTCTGGGTCAAGATGAAGGACTGAGGCTGATCTTAGGTGCACCCATATTGTGTCAGTATTCTGTGCTGTTCATGATGTCATGGCAACATACACCACACTCAGTGTCTGTTAACATTTTCACCACCACTTTCTTAAATCTAGACAACCAACAGAACAATCCATCAAGTCCTGATTTATATTTTTGTCGGTTTCTGTGGTGAAAATACCGTCCCTGGCCAATGTCAAGACACCGAAATGACCTCAGATCGCGGGAGGAAGTGTGTGGTAGTGCAGCAGAATCTATTATTTCCAGCACGCGTTTACCAGTAGGCAACACATGGAGACTAGTAGTTCTCAACCACAGGTGATGCTGCTCCCAGGGGACCCTGGGCAGCTTCTGGAGACGTTTTCGGTTATCACAGCTGTGCTCTCGGCATCTGGTGGGTAAAGTCCAGGGATTCTGCTCAGCATCCTACCACTTACAGGACTGCCCACAACAAAGAATCCAGCCAAAACTGTCAATAATGCCACTGCAGCGAACAGAAATCCCCCCAGGAAACGGAACAAGATGAGCGTAGGAAAGGAGAACACTTTTTCTCTACTATCTTAGGTTTTATAATCGAGACGTGCACATTAAACTGACAAAAGACGCATTAACCAGAGAAAAGACAAATATTTTATTTGATGTATGTTTCAGTTTTACATGCACATGGGGTCTCACAGAAAAGGAATTAAAAACCCAAAGAGGACGTTAGAGCCAGGGGTTTATATACCATTTTAACAAAGAGTGATAAAAGGAGTTTGGATTTATGGAGGGAGTCAGTTGTGGGAAGGTAAATATGTTGGAGAAACTATTAAAAGATGAGGGTTATTTTAGTTAGATTTGTTTGTAAAGACCCATGTCAGTGCTAACTTTTTGTCGCTGGTGATAATGGCTATTTTTCTTCTGTTGGTATGAAAAAGCAGAGAGGTAGCACCTTTGCAAAGGGAAATTTGTGTCCAGCTTTTAAACAGGTGGGAAGGATAGAGAGCTTTTCCTGCCTCTTCTTTCTAGTTTGCCTTCAGCTCAAAATAATTCTTATGCAGGGGCACCTGGGTGGCTCAGTCAGTTAAACGTCCAGCTTCAGATCAGGTCATGATCTCACGGTTCATGGGTTTGTGCCCCGCGTCGGGCTCTGTGCTGACAGCTCAGAGCCTGGAACCTACTTCAGATTCGGTGTCTCCCTCTCTGTGTCCCTCCCCCACTCACATTCTGTCTCTTCTCTCTCTCTCAAAAATAATAAATAAACATTAAAAAATTAAATAATCCTTATGCCAGAGTGGCATGTTTTCAGGTGGTATATTATGATCCCCTGTAATAGTAAAATCATTAATAGGGGATAAATTTTGAGTATTTGTTTATTTTATTCTAAGTTTAAATAATCTTTAGTAGTCACTGTGTTTAAAAACCAGCTTACAAAATTCTTGAAAAGTTAAATTTTCAAGAATTGAACTCAGCCAATATAAGCTGTGGCACGCCGTCCAAACCAGTAGTTTATGGTCCATTTCCCACCTAATTGTAGTGTGGCTCCTGGTACCTCTCTCCCCTTCCCCCCCCCCCCCCCGCCTCTTCTCAAAGCTCCAACAATCCTGCTTGCTTGCTTTCAGCCCCTTGAACACACCAAGCTCCTTGTCTCAGAGCGTTTTTATCTTCTATTCCCAGAACGATCTCCAGCAAGTGTCCTGTCTCTTTGCATCATGAAAATTAATGTCTTCTTAATAGAGAGCCCTTCCCTCACCACCTGTGCCAACATAGCCCCGGTCATTCTTTATCCCACTGCTCTTTTTTATTGCACGTGCATTTCCTTGAGTTTTTACCTCCATATTTTATTTCATTTTTTCCCTTTTTTAATAGTTTATTGTCAAGTGGGTTTCCATATAACACCCAGTGATCATCCCCACAAGTGTCCTCCTCTATGCCCATCTCCTCCCTTTCTCTCCCCCCCATACTCATCAGCCCTCAGTTTGTTCTCCACATTCAAGAGTCTCTAATGGTTTGCCTCCCTCCCTCTCCCCCTCTATTTCCCCCTTCTTCCCCCCACGGTCCTCCGTTAAGTTCCTCCTAATCCTCCTACCTAATCCTCCTATACGTGCAAACATATGGTATCTTTCCTTCTCTGCCTGACTTATTTCGCTCAGCATAACACCCTCAAGGTCCATCCATGTTGCTACACATGGCCAGATTTCATTCTTTCTCATTGCCATGGAGTATTCCATCGTGTAGATAAACCACATCTTGATCCATTCGTCCGTGGATGGACACTTAGGCTCTTTGCATGTTTTGGCTATTTTTGAGAGTGCTGTATGAACATTGGGGTCCATGTGCCCCTATGCATCAGCACTCCTGCATCCCTTGGGTAAATTCCTAGCAGTGCTTTTACTGGGTCCTAGGGGAGTTCTAGTGTTAATTTTTTATACCTCCATATTTTAAATAACATGTTATTCTACTTGTTCTTGATTTCTTTCTTTCTTTTTTTTTTTTAAGTAATCTCTCTTCCCAGCATGGAGTTCAAACTCCCTAGAATCATGCTCTACTCACTGAGCCAGCCGGCACCTCTGTTCTTGCTGTCTTATTTATTTAATTATATGTTTGTTTATTTTTGAGAAAAGGTGGGAGGGGCAGTGAGAGACGGGGACAGAGGATCCAAGCAACGGCAGAGAGCCTGAGGCAGGGCTCCAACTCACAGTGAGATCATGACTTGAGCCAAAGTCACATTTCACTGACTGAGCCACCCAGGCATCTTTCTGGTGTCTTTTAGATTTAGTTGTTATCTGGTAACTTCCTGTTACAAACCTCTTGCACCAAAGTGCCACAGTGCACATGCAAATTTACACATACTCATTCTCTCTCCTCATCTTCCTAATTAATAAACACAGCAGAAATCCTCCCATAATACTAGGGATTTAGAAATTTTAATTGCATAAAGTATAAGGTTGAGTTATTCCAAAGTAACTAAATATCTGTGATCAGCCTGCTTTGGAGACAGGAGCCAGTCACCAATCACGTTATATCCAAATTCATATTATGGGTGGTATTATCATAGGCTATATAATTATGGGGTGCTACTGTGGTGATGCCTGTAGAGTTAATACAATATTTACATTGTTATGATTGTAGAATGACTCAGGGGTGAGCCAGAGCAATAGCTTA